CGGACAAGACCTTCTGCCTGCTGATGTAAGTGGACAACCAAAAAAAAAAAATATACCTATACCCAAAAATCCAATCAAAAGTTCACTTTCAAATATGCCAGAGAGTGGAGTGCGTTAAACAATTGATCAAACATAATGCGGAGCTTTTTTGGCCAGTTGGTTTTGGCCATTAGCGTTGAGTCAGACGATTTGTGTGAAATTTTGTTTCCCCCCCAAATCGAATTATAATAAAAAGCGAAACTCCATTTGTTTACTCGGAATATTAGCGGGTAATATGATTATATGCCTTCCTATATCTGATGAAACTACACGGCGAATAATTTGTTAGCTTTTGTTGACACAAAAATAAAAAAAGAATAACTATTTTTGTCACTGAATTTAATATTTGAAATTAAAAAATATATTCAGTTTTTAAATTATTTAATATAAATTTGTACAATTTTTTCCGATTTTCGGGTTTTTTTTCGATTTTTATATCTAGCCGTTTCGATGATACTTAAAATAAAATAAATGATAGAAACTTAATAAATTCCATTTAAAACAATGTTATCCAATGCTTAAACATTACAAAGTGATATAAAATGGTTTCCAAGTATTTTGTAATCAGTTTTTTATGTTATACCGATCTTCAGACTAATTGAACTTATATATCTTCCCTATAGTGTGGTATCCAGCATTGTGCTTGCCCTGATTTGCTGCGGCACCCTGTACGAGATTTACCTGCGGGGCAAGCTGAAGGAGGCGCTGCGTCGCCAGGACAAGGAGATGATGAACAACAGCGAGACGAGCTCGGGCATTGGCTGTGCCTCCTCGGACTACAGCGACACGATGACGGCCCACGACGATCCTCTCAAGCAATCGGATCACTCGCAGTCGTCGGGTTCGCTCAAGCAGCTGGATGCGCTGGTCCTCAACTTGCCGCCGAATGATAATGACAGCGGAAACGGACACCACCATCACGATCACGATGCTGATCAGGATCACGATCACGATCACGATCATCGGGGTGGAAGCAACAATAGCAACTCGGACGAGCATCTGGAGGGGCATCTGCATGAGCCGGAAAAGCTGAGCATCTACTCGGAACTCCTGCTCTCCTTCTCGGCCATAACGAACTTCAATGCGATCTGCGATCGAAATGTGGGTGCCGACACCATTCCCTGCATCCATGGACTGCGCGCCTTCAGCATGGCCTGGGTGATCCTCGGGCACACCTGCATCGTCGTCTTCAAGTACTCGGATAACATGGAGATGCGCAAGGAGGTGGAGCAGAACTTCTTCTTCCAGGCCATCACCAATGGAGCCTTCAGCGTGGACACGTTCTTCTTCATCAGCGGCTTCCTCATCTCGTACATCTACTTCCGGACGAACGCCAAGGGCAAGTTGAATAAGCTGAGCAAGGGAGCCAATGAATTCACCGCCGGAACGGCACACTTTTTCGGTCTCGTGGCCTATCGATTCATGCGCCTCACCGCCCCCTATCTGTTCGTCCTGGGCGTCGTCCAGGTGACCATGAAGTACCTGGCCACCTACTCGATCTTCGACCCGCCCACCATGGATCACATCACCTGTCCGGACTACTGGTGGCGCAACATTCTCTACATCAACACCCTGTTCCCCGTGGACGAGATGGTAAGTGGTTGTAAGAGTACTTAAAAATAATTATAAAGTGGGTTGTTTTGAGATGTCTAAAAATATGAAATAATAATCGGTTTTATTGAACGATATAGAGGAATTGTTTTGAAATGTCTACACAGAGAAAAAAAGACCAAAAATAGTCATCCATCGGATATTTTTTCATATCAATTTTGGTCCCATCTGTTTTCATATCAAAATGATATTTTCGAACATATGATTTTGTACCATATTGATATTTAAAATTTAAATTTAATTTATAGCATTTCTTTAAGCTTAAAACTTAACCATTATATCACGATATTTATGATCTCGTATGATCTAAGTATTTCAATTTTTTTTATATAATAATTATAAATTAAAGCAAAACACTCTTTATTTTAATGAGAAATACTGATTACTATTGTATAAATTCTTCATTTGTACTTCGATATAAATAATGTATAGAGTTATTATTATAAATTAGACTTTTTCATGTTTAAAGTTCCTTGAATCATAATCAGAGGAATATTCTCCAATTTATATCTTTTATAACTTCCTCGCTATCCGCAGTGCATGCTCTGGAGTTGGTATCTGGCGAATGACACGCAGTTCTACATGATTGGCGCCATCATCCTGATCGTGGGCGTGCGCCACTTCAAGCTGTCGGCGATCACGACGCTGGTGTTCCTGGTGCTGTCGTGGATCACCACGGCGGTGATTGCGTTCACCAACAACCATCGGCCCAACACCGACGATCCCTTGGCGCTGTTCGACAAGATCTACGACAAGCCATGGACCCGCCTGGGACCCTACCTCATCGGCATGGCCGTCGGCTGGATCCTGTTCAGGACCAACTGCAAGATCCGGCTGCCCAAGCTGACGGTGGCCAGCGCCTGGTTCCTGGCCATGCTCAATCTGTTCGTCCTGGTCTTTGGTCTGTACAAGGCCGACCTCTCGCAGTTCACCGCCGCCGCCTACAGCTCGCTGAGCCACTCGGCCTGGGCGTTGTCCTTGGCCTGGATCACCATCGCCTGCTCCACGGGCTACGGCGGCTACATCAACTCGCTGCTCTCGGCGCCCTGCCTCTATCCCTTCTCCCGCGTCACCTACTGCGCCTACCTGGTCCACCCGATCGTCATCCGCTCCATGGCGCTCAACTCGGACGCGCCACTGCATCTGGGCGGGGATCTGATGGTGAGTTGGGGGTTTTTTCTTTGAAGAATTGGGAAAATTAGAAAAACTCTCATTTCTGGAGGTTTCAAATCAATACTAATAGTGTCCAAAAGTATGCAACAATATTTGTATGTCCAGAAATCTCTAGAGATTTATTTAAATTAATAGAAGGGTATATAAACAAGGGATTAATTTCATTAAAATTTTGTTTTCCAAGAAAATAAATATTTTAAAAAATTTTTATAATTTTATTATTTTTCTCCCACCTTCAGGTTGTCATGTTCTTCGGCCTCACGGTGGCCTCCTACTTCCTGTCCTTCGTGGTGTCCATGTCCTTCGAGGCGCCCGTCGTCACAATGCTGAAGATCCTGTCGCCCAGTCGAAAGAAACGCCTCGCCTAAGTCCCACGCACCAGAACCGCCCATTTCCGATTATTTATACCCCCATTTTGTCATGTTATCTATTTCTTGTCTATCAAGCAATGCCCCACATATTTATAGCATCGACTCATCTGCACACTTACGACTCCTTCCGATCGTTTTCTCTCTATATATATACACTATATATTCTTTTCACTCTGCACCACATTTTCCACTCACTTGTGTTCCAGTTAAAAAAAAGAAAATACAAAAAACGAGGAAAACACGACGTGCAAATTGAAACGTGCAAATCAATTCAAACTATTTTTTGTCATATTTTTGTTTCATAATGTGTACATTTTAGTCCTTTAATTTATTCCAAAGGTTTGGAAATTTTGCGCGTGACGAAGAGAAAGAGTTATACATAGTACTTAATAGTTATAATTATATGAAACTCTAGTACCTAATTTTATGAAATCATGTTGTATATACTATATGCTATATATTGTTATATATAAACTTTTAAATAAAAACTGCTACCAAATACAAATTATGAGAGTTTTAATGGAATTTTAAGTTGTCCTTAAAGGGTATTTTTTAGAATCAGGTTTTAAATAATAAAAAAATACTGTATTTATTTTGTTATACAGCTTTGTTGGGGAAAGAGCTTTTATTTTTTTTATTTCTGAATTTGAAAATTTCTGAATTGAAAATATTATCACATTTATATTTATTAGTATCATTTATTAATGTACCTGTAACTGTAAAAAATATTATTAAAAAATATTTTTAGCTAATTAGTTAGTTCACAAATATGTTGTTTAATATTACTAGAAGTATTATTATATTTTTGGTATCACGTTGATAAAGTCTTTTTTTGGGAGTTTTATTTTGATGATAGCCCTGCTGGATACCTCTTCCCCATCAAGGACTTCTTTCGTAACTGAAGATTCTTTTCTTCTTTCTCCGCATCCTGCACACAGGACGGGCAAATGGTTTTGGGATAGGGGTCGTCTCTCTCAACTGGATAGCCACTCCACTGGGAAAGCATGTTGGCAATGCATGTGCCGGATTCCTAAATCCGACCGAAGACATTCACCATGTTTTTCTTGTGCTCCAAGCACACACGGCATCTAGACGCCTCCATAGCCCTTAAATCGAAAATATTATTAAGAAATTTGAGAGTTTTTGAGAGAATGCACTTTCTTACAATCGTTTTTAGTACTCAATTTCACCAGATAGTTTTTTGACAGCTAAAAGAACCGGCAAAGCTTTGAAAACATCGATGGTCTTATCGATACTATTGATGGAGAGCCTTTCTGCTCCTTTCGATTTATTAGTAAGTTAAGAAGAGCTGCAAATATACTTTCCATTTTGATTTTAAATATTTCTTGCATATTCATTTCTGAAAATAGAATTTTGTATGGAACATGTGACCGAAATTAAACAGTTTAGGGAACCGTTAAACAATATTAAAAAAAAATTAATATGGCGCTTAATATATTTATTAATGTTATTATCATTAAGAAGGTGCAATATCATTTATTTTCGTAAAGTGCCTTAAACAGTGTGAATTTATTTAAAAAAAAAAAAAATTAAGTACATAAGCCAATTCATATGTTTTATAATATTACTATAAATATTATGGTAATTGAAGGATGGAATGACATTATACGCTACATTTATATTAAGACGTACGATAACCGTTAGTTTGTATGGTCCATTATCCAGTATCTGTCTTATTTTGGTATCACGTTGCAAAAGTAGTCTATTGGGAGGCGTCCCTGAACTCGGGTATATCTTTTTTTTGCAGCTCTACCTGAAGTTCCTAGCGACGAACCATGTGGTGGATGCATTCCAGTGTGGTCAAGCTAACGTTGCTTGGCGGAAGAATGCACCGTTCGCAGGTGTCGCTTGAGGTTCGAACTGGTTGTGAAGGACATTTCGCAGTGGGAACACTTGTAGGGCCGTTCTCCGGTGTGAATGCGCATGTGCACCTTGAGAGTCTCCTTGTTCTTGAAGGCGGCCGAACAGAGAGAACACTTAAACACCCGTTCCCCGTGGGTCGCCAAGTGCTTGGTGAGACTCCACTCCAGTGGAAAGTACCTGGGACAGTGGGGACACTCGAACTTCACCGGTCGATTCCCGTGGGTCAACAAGTGCTTGATGAGACTGCACTCCATTGGAAAGGTCTTTGGACATTGCGGACACTCGAAATCTTTCGTTTTGATCGTCGATTCCGCAAGGTCTTCATAATATTCTCCCTCAATTACTGGGCCATCGAAGTCCGAGTCCGAGATCTGAAAGTATTCCTCCTCGAAAACGTCCTCCTCCAGGGGCTCGTTTATCACGCGACATGGCAACTGATTTTCCTGGGCTTCTTCGTAGCTCCAAATATCTGGGACTAGTTCTTCCTTAACCTGGATGATATTACCGCTGTATGCGATGCCTTGATCCTCCAGTGAATTCTCTCGTATCTGATCGTATGTCTCGTACGCCTTTTCGGCATCCTGCAGACAGGACATGCAAATGGTTTTGGGGAAGGGGTCGTTCCTCTTAACAGGATACCCACACCACTGGGAAAGTATGTTGGCAATGCAAGTCCCAGAGTCCTGCGTCCGATCGAAGACATTCACCATGATTTCGCCGTGCTCCAGGCACACACGGCACAGGGGCGCCTCCATAGCCCTGAAATCGAACAAATTATTAGGAAATTTCGAAATATTTACGATCGCTCGAGGGTAGTTTGTTTACAGCTGTAAGAACCGGGAAGAATATCGATAAACATAGATCGTAGGAGCAGCTGGGGTTCCATTAGGGGGATTCCTGGTACTCACGAAGTACTATTATTAAATACATATAAAATAATTACATTATTAACTTTTATTATTTTCTTATTATTATATTTATTAACTTTATATTAAACATGTATATTCTATTATTATAGTTAGTACAATATATAATTTAAGAATATACAAGTTAATAAACACGCCTATCGATATGAACTATCGATGCTTGGCCCCCTCTAGCCGACAGTCACCAATCGATCTGGCAACCCTGCGCGAAGCGAGTTTGTAATTTTTAAGTAATTCCTTTAAAAATGCCGCCCGGAAGGCAAATTGCGAGCGACAGCGACATGGAGACCGTGCTGGAGGAGTTCAAGGAGCGCCAGGGGCGCCGGAACAGCATCGGGTCGGCCAAGTACGCCTGCAGCGTGCCCAAATGCGAGGCCACCTTCAAGCGGCTGGACCAGTTGGACCGCCATGAGTATCACCACACGGGAATTGTAATTATAATGATTCTACTATAGATTCCGCAAATGTATGATACCCTATTCCTGCAGAAGAAGCACGCCTGCTCGTACGAGGGCTGCGACAAGACGTACTCCATCGTGACGCACCTGAAGCGCCACCTGCGCAGCACCCACGAGCGTCCCGAGGCGGCGGCCAAGAAGACGGTGAAGTGCGCGCTCGAGGAATGCGGCAAGATGTTCATCTCGGTCAGCAACATGACCCGCCACATGCGCGAAACGCACGAGAGTCCGCGCGTCTATCGCTGCGGCCACTGCGGCGCCAACTTCTCGCAGAAGCTTAAGCTGAAGCGCCACGAGATCCGGGAGCACACGCTCGAGTATCCCTTCGCGTGCTCGAAGTGCTCGCGCGGCTTCTACCAGGAGTGGCAGCGGCAGAGCCACGAGCCCAGCTGCAAGCAGTACGAGTGCCCCGGCTGCCCGCTGAAGTTCGACAAGTGGACGCTGTACACGAAGCATTGCCGGGAGACGTTGCACGGAAGGAATCGCCACAAATGCGACCGCTGCGAGTGCGCCTTCGACAAGCCGAGCGATCTCAAGCAGCACATCGAGGTGAGGCACAAGGAGGCCAAGGAGAAGCAGCCGGAAGAGGAGTCAGCTTTCACCTGCACCGAGGAGGGCTGCGGCCGGAGCTACTCGTACCTGAGGAATCTCCGCCAGCACGTGCTGACCGCCCATTCGGGCCGACGTTTCGAGTGCCAGAGCGTGGACTGCGGTCGCTGCTTCAGCAGTGCCCAGAATCTGGCCAAGCATCTGCTCAGGGACCACAGGGATGTCCAGAAGAGCCAGAAGAAGAGCGACCAGAGGGCCAAGTTGAATCCCCGCAAGCGCAGGCGCGACGCCGGACGCAGCAAGCACTCGCGCCTGGCCAAGCTGGCCTGCCTGCAGCTGGACAAGGAGGACGAGGAGGCGGTGCGCGAGCGCCAGCCGTTGGCCCTCGAAAAGGTCACCCAGTCGTTGGCGGAAGACCCCGTCGAAGAGCTGCTGGCACAGACGCTTCAGGAAGCAGAGGAAGTGGAGCAGGAGTAAAAGAAAAGGGAAGGAAGGTCAGGTGAAAACCGGAATGAGGCTGAAATACCTTTGAGTCGAAAGGAAAATGGAGCGAAAATTAAGTGAAATACACAGAAGAACTCAAGAAGTTGTACACAAAACACAAATCAAGACGCAAAATCATCAAGAAACTGCCAAAGACACAAAAATTTAAACACAAAATGATGAAGAAGTGCAAAGCATCAGAAAACAGACGAAGGTAACTTTTACATATTTATAAAAAACGACTCTAAATATACAGAAAATAAACTAGGACCTTTCTTCCTTCCCTACTAGTTAAGTTAATTAATTACTAATCATCGCCGCCTGGAGCGGATTAATTAATCACTTAGAATCCCATTCCATGACTAGAATTTTAGAAAATACCCGGAGTAGAATATTATTTATATTAAATAAAACATAAGTACTCCTTACTTCTCAGAAAAAAAAACCAAATTTCAAGTAATATATAATTTCTAAAATTTTTTTAGAGCTGTAGACATTTTCTTCTCTAAGTTGCCATGGTTTCAAAATGAAAGCCAGCCGTAAATCGGTCATAAATACTAGTCTTAGAAATCGTGAATATTTTCTTTTGTTTTTTTTTTATTAAACAATCTTCTAAAAACAAAAAAAAATGCTTAATGTGTGGACGCGATGGTGGCGATGGTGGAGGATTGGAAAAGTACGGACCGGTGCAATGGAAGTGCGCTTTCTGGGGGCTACAGTGAGTTGATGATCTTCCGGCTGCGCATCTGCTCCAGCCAGTGATCGTACTGCTGCTCCGGCGTCTGTGGCTCCTGGTAGTAGTGCTGCGGCGGCTCGCCCTCCTCCAATCGGACGAAGTAGTGACAGTGCTTGTACTCCACCCGGCCGAAGCGACCGCGGGCGTGGCGCCTCACGCCCTTAAAGACGCGTCCCTTGCCCACAAAGGATTCGGCTGGAAGAAAAGAGATAATGTATTTATTAGTTTTATAATAGTAGGAAAAATTGGGATTATAAGTACTCGAAAGGGGAATCAGAATTACAGTCAATTAATTTGAATTTTTATTTATTTCCCAAAAAGATGATAGAAAAAGTGGTATATACTCAAATGAATCCTTAATTTTCAGGTCAATTGATAGGCTAATAAGCGAGAAGATTTAGGCAAAAATTCTTTAATTTTCTGTCATCTTAAATTTATTAAAATTCTCTATAGTGTGGTTAAAAAAACTGCTACCAAAAATCAATCAAAATAGAGCAATAAAATATGGAAATACTTCCTTTTATAGGATTATAAAAATGAATCCTCAATTTTCAATCAATTTATTGGCTAATAAGAGGAATGTTCAGGAGAAAAATGATTCATTTAGGATTTATTAAAATCCTAAATAGTTTGGTTTAAGAAACTGCCCATGGTTATGTGCAAATCCTTTCTGTTTTTGGGATAAAATCCCTTCTTAGTCCCCCCATTTCAAGATTCCTCCTCAGGAGTACCAAGTGCTACCCACCTATCCACAGATTGCTCTTGTACTCCACATTGTGCCGCTCCACGGCCATTTGCTGGGCCTCCAGGATGGTCTCCTTCACATCGGTGGCTCCCTTCTTGAGCACAAAGTTCAGCTGCTTCAGTGCCTCATCGACGGACATGCCGCGAACGAAGGCGGCGATGTACCACATCTTGTCCGGGCTGTATTTAATGTTGTTGCGCGAGTGGCAGACGTACTGAAAGTGCGCGATTTGAGGGGATTATCCCAGGGGAACGATGTACGATAGGTACTCCATTACTCACCGCCTTCCTGGGCTCCTCGTCCGTTTCCTGCGGCGGATGGACCGTCTTGTTGTACTCCAGCCACTTCCTTGGTCCGTAGTTGTGCTTGTTCCACTTGGCGCACATTAATCCTCCCGTGTGCAGGGACTTCACTTGGAGCTGGAGGGCAGGTGCAGTTGCTGGTGCTGGTGTGACTGGGGTTTCGCCCGCTCTGAGGAGCGCTGCTCCCTGCGGCGCCTGCAGGCGCAGCTGGGCCATCTGCCGGATCACCTTGTGCATCTCGAGTCCGCCGCTTTATCACAGGAAACCAGGCTATTTTAATTGGAAAGGGAAAACGCAGACTTCTCGTTCGGTCGCGTAATCTGCCAGCTGGAGTATCGATATCACCATGGGGCATGGCATCGATATATCGGTGGGGAATGTCTACAAAAGTAAATGTGTAGCAATCGATATTTTTACAGTCTTTAAAGTCTTTTAATTAAAACAATTAATCGTTGCAATTTGAAAAGTAGATATATTTAATAAAAAAAAATGTAATTTATTAAAAACAATAGCTGTAACCAGAAGCCAATCTCAGAGTCCTTCATTTTCCTCCATAAAAAATCCGTATTTTGACCAAAATAAAGGAAACAACAGTCCAAATATAGAATGTCATACCTCATTGAACTCGTAATAAGATTCCCAATCGATTGGCATTTAAACCTGGACATTTTTAATTTTTCGCAAAAAATCATGAGGTACCCCCTTATAAAAAAAATTTAAAATTGGCGAAAATTTTATTTTTTTAAGATCACCCGGAAAGTATCATGGATTTATTTAATATTTTGTTATCTGTTCAAAACTGTATGTATTTTTGGCGTACGACCATTTTTGGCCAAGTTACAGCAAAAAAACGAAAAGAAAAATTGCATAGAAATAACTATTTTTATTTAGCTATGTTTTTGTAGTAGTTACAATTTATATTTAATATATTTAATATTTAACATAAATAGGTTTAACTGAAAAAAACTTTTTCGATTTTGTGGTTTAATGTTATTATTTAAAAAACTCAATTGAGTTTTGGGGGATGGCAAGTGTTATTTCGCGCCCCACATTCAAAACCCCGAAACGGTCTGGCATCGCTGGTCGTGTCGAGTGCTGGTTTGAAATGTATCTGAGGGATTGCCGGCCATCCACTCACTGCATTCGGTCGCGTGAAGCGGTTCTTGGCTGATGTGAAGTGCGGAGCGCTCGCGATCGAAACGGAAATTCGAAGGGCGCCAGATTCGATTCAAAACTATAGATAGAAAATTTCGAAAAAATTCAAATTCGCGTATGCAAATCCAATCGATGGTAAATTGAAAGACGAAACTGTTTGTGTGACATCCGATACAACTGTTTATCTAATCTAAATTGCCGGAGTCTCGAGGGCTCAGTTGTTTGTTTATATTTTGTTTTGCATTGGCATTTTGCTCTGCCTCGATCTCGTTTTGTGTCTGAATAGTCGGATTGCAGTGGATTCCGAGATCTCGTGATTGCGAATCTAAACCATCTGGATAAATGAGGGAACTTATTTTCACTGCAGCGTTTTAGTTTCAAGGAAAAATTAATGACGAGAAAATCTCGTTATTTTTCGAAATCAGCTTTAAAGTTAAATTTGTGAAAACACATTAATTGTTGAATTTTTCCGAAGGTTTGTTTTTTATTTCGATTTTTATGTCAATCCGTTCTATTCGATTTTTGTTACCGTCCGTTTTTTTGACCAGCCTTTTAGACATATATCAGTTTAGATTAAACTTGTTAAAATGGAATATTTGCTTCTAATTTTGTATATTACATTTAAAATAAACACATCTTTTCCCCGATCTCTCTGGCTTATAAGCCAACCAAAATGACACATCAAATGGTCGAAACTTTTGCTAACGGAAATTACAGTCTTCCCACACGCAACTCACCTTTGAACATATTTTTTTTCGAGTGGGATGCTCGCACATAGATAATGAAAAACTAAACTTTTGCTATCATTTTGGTTGTTAGAGAGCTTTGAGGTTGTTTTTGCTGCTCTCCCGAGACTACAGACTACAGACTCTATAGAGTCTCCAATGAGTAGGCGATCGGGCACGAGCAGTTCACCTATGTATCTATCGCTGCGCTGCGATGTATTTTACAGATATTTTGCGCCATTAGTAGTGGTTTAAATCTTGCTGCGATCGCTGTCGAGGTAGAGCAAAAAAAATGAAGGAAAAAAACAAAAAATAAATAAAAAACCCCATATAAAAACAAATAAAAGTGAACTACAAATAGAGATAATCAAAACGCATCACGCGACGCGCTACAAATTTGTTTTAAACATTTTTTTCCAGTGATGAAGCACCAGTGAAAAGTGCACTCACCGAATAAATATACTAAATATATATAAAGAAAATAAAATAAAAAACAAAAAAAAATATCATAAAAGCCAAAAGCCAAAATCAATAAAGTGAATCAACGCAGCTGTATTTGCACCCAGTTTTTTGTGCAGTGTAGACGATCTGTATATGCATGTCTATATATATTTAGATGTGCATATATACCTAGATATAGGCGGTCTCTGCTGGGCGTAGCACACAGCATCCAACTTTTTAGATTTATTTTTAGATAAATGATCGGGTGTGTGTTATTTTTTTTTCCACTAATTTGATGTGTTTTTTCATATATCTCAACCATCTGGGCAATATTGTAGGGCAATTCCAGCAAGGACTGCAGCTAACTATCATAAAATAACGAAAAGTTCTTAAAAGTATTTCGAAAATGTATTTGGCATAAACAAAAAAAAAATGTTTAAAGTTTATAAGTCTAGTAAATTAACATAGAATTAGTTTTTAGAAACTTTCCCCATTTGTTTGTGTTTTCATGCAAATTGGCGACTTTCAGTTTACAATTTGAGTGACCGCCTGGCAGCTTGAATATCAATTTGTAGCCCACAAAATTAACTGTCTTATTTATATTGGCACATTTGCGAGTCATTGCGAGTGTGAGCAGCATTCACAATTTGTAGAATGCTAAATTGCTTACACCATATGGCGTTCTACAGGCAATTTTATTTGTATTTCTTTTATTTTCTGTGTTTTCTTAATTATAATTCATTTTCTTGTCGGTGAATGGCAGCCGCCCATCAATGAACTCGAGTCGCCCACACTCGACGGAAAAACTGGGCATTATGTATGGTGGAAAATGTGTCAAATGTCACCTGCACACACCGCCTACAACTACACGGGAAAAAATGCAATATCTCAAGATTTCGAATATTTAAAATAATTTCTTTGAAAAGTAATCTCTAAAAAAGTTTAAAATACATTTAATTTGTGTGGGAAGGGCTGGATTGCTGTTTTTAACCTGGCTAAAAGTCTAATGCTTTTTGGCCGTTATTTTTGTGTTATTTTGGCCAACCTGTTTGACGGCAGATTACGTCACCATCATCATCTAAACGATGCCGAGAGCGTAGAACCCGCCAAAATCTTAGCACACACAGCAAAAAAGAGAAACCGTCAAAAATGCCTTAAGACAACAAATCAGATTTTAAAATTAGCCCAGAATAAACAAACGACCTGACTGATACCCTAAGAATTTGACTAATGCCAACACGGAAAAATAAACTTTAAACAAAATTTAAATAGGTTTTAGAACAAGTGAAAAACTTTAGTGAATTTCTTAGAAAAACAGAAAGTTATAAATATTTAAATAAATATAAAAACCAAATAAAATAATTATGAAAACTAAATAAAATAAATAGAAATCCAAAATAACATAAAAGCAAAAACCAAATAAAATAAATAAAGACCATATGTTATATATGTAAAACCAAATGAAAAAACATACAAAAATATTTTAAACGAAAGGGAGCTATAAAATCCAATACATATAAATATTCAATCAAATCTTTAGGTGGCATAGCCAAAAATAAACTTGTAATGCAGCTTATTCGATTTTTTTGGCATTGAAGGGAAACTGAAGCGTGTAATAAAGACCGATTCGGAATACCCGTAATTGCCCCGACATCCGACATTAGATATCCGACCAGCCCTAACCACTCCGCCCACCTCGCGATTCCCAAGGCCAGAGATCTTGATTTTTATGTTCGAAGTGAGAGAGCGGGGACCAGACGAGCATAGAGATAAAGATATGGAGACACTCGGTATTTGCTGAGTTGAAGAATACAGTTTTTTTTTTTTTTTTGGTTTTGGCTTGTTGTGTTTTATGCTCTTTTTTTTTTGGTTTTTGAATCTCAACTCATTTCGGGCCAAGGTTGATTTTATATAATAAAAAAATAACAACAACAACAAAGTGTGTGTGCGCGTCTCTCTTTTGACCATATGTTATAATAATTCTCGATCTCGATCGACAGCTGTGAAGATGCAGGCGTAAAAGTGCAAAGTTCTTGGATGCAAACCCAACGAAATCGATTAGAAAGAAAGTAGAAATTCAGAAAAAGAAAGAACTCAGCGAAAAAAAAAGAAAAGAAAGAAAGTCTCGATAGAAAGATGAGTGGAGACCAAGGTCACCGAAGAAGAATGGGGGGTCCACCCCTGATAATGATCCTGATCCTGTTGGCGATCGCACTAACCACCGATGGCTATAACATCGATCTGCCCAGCTACATTCGATTCCGGCAGTCGCCCAACTCGATGTTCGGCTTTAGCATTGCGATGCACAAGTCTCGAAATGGATTCTACAGCAATCAGAACAAGTGAGTTATCGAAATTTAGACCTATATAGTATTAAGATCACTAAGGAAATGTTTTGGAATTTTAAGGGATTTTTAAAGATAATACTTTAAATATAATACTTCTTAGATCTTTTATTTGTACCCCAAATCATGTTACGTTCATTACACGTTCTGAATAGAGTCATTTATTTTCCTCTATCTTAAAAACGACCCTCTTGACATTTCATTTAATTTCCCAATGCATTATCTTCATTTGGAGAAATGTGCTTTAAACTCGGGTTCCATTTAAGATAAGTAAATCATATGGGATTTAAGCACGCTTTACATTTTATGCACTCTGTACGCATACATATATATTATCGGAAGAGAGCTGACTTAGCCGGAATTCATGCTGCTATCGGGAACTCTCTCCTCTTTTCTCTCTCTTTATCATTTGACTTATAAGATGCTGGTGCTCATGCATATAATATGATAAATACAATTTTTATCTTTCACAAAAATTATTGATTACTTGCAAAAATAGGAAATTACATCAAAATTGAGTATTTAATATTATTTAAATATGGGGCTTTAACCAAGATAGTATTTTTCTCTGAGTGGCTTAAGAAAAGCCCAAAAAATGATAAAAGGAAAAAGAAAAAAACCAGTGCATCAGAGAAGTGTTGAAATCGGAAATACGTCGTTTCTTGTGATAAAAGCATACATTCTGAATATGTTAATATTTCCGGGATATTACGATGTAATTCATTTTTACACAAATGATTCAGGGTCGTACGATTTTTTATTCCTTGGCGAGTGAGAAACCCAAGAAGCTGTCATGGAAAATAAAAATAACAACGAGTGCAAGCGATATAATTAAAATGTTGGGAAGACTATTTGTAAAAGTAAAATGTTTAAAAAAAATAATAAATTAATTTGGAAAGAAAAACCATTATTATAAATGCTATCAATCGCCTAGAAAACTCAGAGATGCCATTTGGCAAGACTTTGGTATTGACAGACCACTAGATTATTCGTTTTTTTTTTCGCAGCCGTCCAGCCGTCTTGAAGATAATCCAATCTGTGGGCAGAGATTCCCACTATCTGCATAGCTCAGCACGCAATGACTTTTCCCTATCTCGACGAGCGTGTAAATATGCATCCAGAATGCTAAACGCCCATTAGTTTCAATCGCCTGAAGATGCCCCGCCATCCCCAGAAAAGATTCATTGATAAATTTACGAGAGTGTCGCATCTAAATCTATCTGGGACCCTCTTGACTTTTTGACTCTGTGCCTCTCAAGCGTTTCAAAAGTTTATTGGGTCCATCCGTCCATCCGAAAGTCTGACCCCCTGACAAATGGCCAAGGAGCATATATATTTGCCGCCCATGCAATTCACCCAATAACTTTCACGCTATTCATGTGAGCCGTTCGATTCGCAGCGATGATAGCCTTTCTGAACCCACAAAGTTCAGCTTGATGGACCGTGTTAATCGCATAGTCTCAGTACTAAACTGGAAGAAAATTCGAGTGAAAAGTAGTGTAAAATGAAAAATTTCTGAATTAAATAATGATTAAAATAAGTTGTTAAAAAACTGGAAAAATTTTATAATATTTTTGTAATATTTTTAAATATTTTAAAATAGGTATTTATACCCGTTACTCGTAGAGTAAAAGGGTATACTAGATTCGTGCAAAAGTATGTAACAGGTAGAAGGAAGCGTTTCCGACCCTATAAACTATATATATTCTTGATCAGGATCACTAGCCGAGTCGATCTAGCCATGTCCGTCTGTCCGTCTGTCCGTCTGTCCGTCTGTCCGTCTGTCCGTCTGTCCGTCTGTCTGTCCGTCTGTCTGTCTGTATGAACGCTGAGATCTCGGAAACTATAAAAGCTAGAAGATTGACATTTTGCATGCAGATTCTAGGAGTTCCTACGCAGCGCAAGTTTGTTTCAAAAGGGTGCCACGCCTCCTCTAACGCCCACAATCGCTTATATACGATTTTAAAATTTCAATATTTCAGAAATGTAAAAATGCAGTTTTATGGTGTTTATCAATACCTATCGAAATGTAGAAGAAATTTTTTCAATCGGACCATTCGTTAAAAAGTTACGGCGGATCAAAGTTTTATCTCCATCTCCTTCGCACTTCCTTTAGCTGAGTAACGGGTATCTGATAGTCGGGGCACCCGACTATAGCGTTCTCTCTTGTTTTTAATTTCTGTGTATCGTGGGATTCCGCCTCAGACTTTTCGCACGTTAGCTGGTGGATGGCTAGCCCATGGGTTATTATTTTAAAGATTTGATTTCAGAAAATATATCTCTTGATTAAAAAAAGTTGTTAAAAAACTGAAAAAATGATATAATATTTTTATAATATTATAAATATTTTAAAATAGGTATTTCCTAATTTCTGTGTATCGTGGGATTCCGCCTTAGACTTTTCGCACGTTAGCTGGTGGAAGGCTAGCCCATGGGGTTAGCCTACTAAATACAAGGAGAGTTCGAGGACTGAAGACGCTGGAGTCGCTAAAGAACCGCAGATACGTAGCATCGATAGAGAGAGTGGCTGGGTGAAAGAGTGGAGTGGCCACCGGGCTATCAGGGCAACAGCATCTACGGCTACGTGTGTGAATGGCCTTTTGGCCGTTTGCACCGCTTTCCTCGCCATAAGTCTCTATATAATCCATATACACACACTAGAGATACAACAAAAAAAAAACAAGAACTGCCCCGCGCGCTAAGTGCACTTAAAAGCAACGAAAATTATTTAAATGCAGCGTTAAAAATGTTTACAATTCAATAAACAGACGCAAACAGACACGGAATTTGGTTAGACCCTGCCCCAGAAGAGGCGACAACTGAAGATACAAATACAGAGATACAAAGATACGTAGATACGATGGAATACAGAACAATAAGTTAGCACCGAGCGACTTTTAACCCAGGTTGAACTGTGGATGCTCTTTGAAAAGTATCTCTGAAAAGTATCTCAAACTGTTTAGCATACATTGCATCTCTAAGAAGAACAATATACAGATATATGATTGTTCTTAAGTTCTTAAGATGAAACTAGTAAATATTAAACTAAAAACTATTATTATTTTAATAAATCTTTTGTGTTTAAAAATATGTACTAAAAAGTCTATATCAGGGGTTCTTAAGTTTTAAATAAATATTTAAAAAAATTAAATAAATACAAATTAATATTATTTGTATCTTATTATAATCTTGGCTTTCTGAGTTCTGAATAGGTTAGTGCTACCCTGTTGCCGAAGGGCATTACTTTTGGGGGCTGCCCCCTGCGTTAAAAGCTTAAAATTACCCGACTCCGTGAGATAATTGTGTGCTAAACTCAGAAGACAAAAGCGACACACAAAGCAAAGAGCCAGAGACAACGAAGTGAGGAAAGTGGTAAACACAAGGTGGCTAAGTAACTAGTTGTGGTGGCTCATTGTTTATAAGGCAACGCGGCCCAAAGCCGTTGGCCAATATGCGGTTTGCCCTGAGAACAGAGAACAGAATCGTTGTGGGCAATTAATACAGTGTATCCGTATCTGCAGAGGCATTTCATACTTATATCTCCATTGCCAATGTATCTCTTTATAACTATATCTGTAAATGAATGTACCTGTAGCCCAGTATCTCGCGCGGCGACATAGTTTTCTGTTTTCTGCGAGCGTTCGTTCTATTTACGGTCAAGTGTTTCAGCTCAAACGGCAAGGTTCTTGTCGCCGCAGCCGCCGCTTCACCCAATTGGCCAAATAAAGTCGTTTGTCCGTTAACCAGAACGCGAGAGTCGACCACAGGTTTCCTTATAGACGGATGGATAATGGCCAGGCCAACTCATTAGCCTGACCCCGTTCCGAGTGCCTTGCCTGCTTTGGGGATCCTTTAATGTTCGCTGTCATCTGGTTCTGCAAAGTGAAATTGTTAAAGTTAGGAAGTTTCTGACTCTTTACAGAGTTTAGCTTTGGATTTTAAATTGTTTTAAAATATAACCATAATTTCCAAATTATTATTATTTAAATTATTACCATAAATTCCAAATATATTTCATAATTGAATCTTATTTTGATGACAGGCTAAATATAGAACTATCTGTTGAGATTAGCTGTTATCTCTTGTATATTTGTTATGATTAAAAGAAACTTAGATGTGTTCTAGAGGTTGACATGTCTATTATTGCTTGACAAATATAAAATATTAGATAATACATATTTCATAGAACATTTAAGAACATTTTCCACAACCTTTTAGGCAATTTTTCAGTCAGTTTAGTAACCGCGTCTTGAAGATAGCATCTCTGGGAAGTCACCCCTTGAACTATTTTTAGCTACTTCTGCAGCAGCCCACCAACATCGAAATCGATGGAAGAAGTCACTTGAGTGAGGAGTTCATTTAGGGTCTCCATCGCTATAGAGTCCTCCCCCGGCTCTCTAGTAAGTGGGTCTGGGCAATCTATCTATTGCATAAACTCAAATAAACTACTGTCAGCTGCAGCTGAGATCGTATCGATCGTTTGTCTCTCGGCCTTTTTGTTGTGGTTATGAAATGGCAAAAACGGCGGCAGGCAATGAGAACTGTAATTGATTTCAAATATTTATGCCGTGCATGCACTGAGAAAAATTATTTCCATTGCTTATGGGCTAAAATTGTATTTTTCACCAGGATTTAAACAATTTTATTTGCTTTTAAAATGTTTGCAATATATTTTAAATATTAAATAATATTTTTTAGGGTTTTCTAAAGATTAAAACATATTTTAGGGTTATTTTTTTACAAGTTCAATAGGTTATTAAATTCATTAAAAATTGTTTAAGATTAAAACGTATCTAGTAGCTCTCTTTTTTTTCTCTGCACTTGTATACTTTGGCATTTTCATTTGTTTGGCCGAACCGCCTTAATTGCCGCTTGATTGCAGAGCCTCGAGTGGTGGAGTAGATATCCATCGCAGATCGTAGATCGTTCGAATCGTCGAGTACTGATCGCAGATCAGCTGGCTTTCCTATACGGGGCCCAGGGAAAAACGGAAGTGTCAATGTGTAAAAAAGGTGCTGGGAAACCGCACACACGCACTTTAGGTACGGGGAAATGGGAAATTGAAAATTGAAAATGGTAAATCGCTCAATGGACAACAAAACAAACGCCGGGGCCTGTCACGTGTGCAAGGGTTTCGGTTTTCGGCTTTCTGCTTTCGGCTTTCCCAATTTTCCCCGACCTCCGGGGGGCGCACACATGTTTAGCGCCGACACGCCCTCGCCGCCTGCCCACTTTTTTCCGAATTTTCCCCGAGTCTCGGTTTCGGTTTCTGTTTCGATCCTCTCTCACCCTCATATCGCAGTTTACCGATCCGATCGTCTCGGTTCCTTTAACGCCGCCTGACTTCGCAAGTGAGTTGGCTGTTTTTCGAAAGAGAAATGTTCTACCTTTTATGTATTTATTTACATCGTGCATTATTTAAAAGGTCATCAGAGAATAGTGTCCCTGGAAAGTCAGCCTTGATCGGCGGAAGTTGGGTTCAAAGTTGGAAAACCAAAGCGTTACCTAGGTTTGCAACCGAATTTCAATAATGGGGTTAGGAAAATCAACAAAAAATTAAAAATTTTGTAGAATCTCTACAGAAAAGGAAGTTTTTTTGTAGAGTAAAGATTTTTTATTTAATATTTTTTTGGTTCTTAAAATGTAAACATTTTTTTTTTAATTTTATGAAATTTTTGAAAGTTTTTTGACTATAAAATCGATAAATTGGTTCTGTTGTGGTTAAAGTGGGTAATTTGAACTTTTTTTAAACTTATAAAAAAAATTAAAATATTTTAAAATTATTTTAACAATAAACTTCTTAAGGTGAAGAGTGTTTTAATTTTGGAGTAAATTTATGGACACTTTTCGACCATAGAGTATGTAAATCTAGCTGCTTCTGCAGCTGTCCGCTTACTTTCCTGCGGCACTGTGCAGTTAATTCATTCAGGAGGCGATGAGAAAAGGGAGGAGAATGAGTGAGAATGTGTGGCGGCAGGAAGCATGCGCAGCTTCACACGAGCCCCGCACCCACGTCATTCAGAATTCAGAAAGTGAACTGGAGAAGGTCCACAGAAATCGCACTGGAACATGTATGTGCATATGTACCTATAGATATTTGTAAATATATATGTGTACGAGTCTCACATCCTGCGAGCATGTGTTCGGCGAATGACTCGGAAGTCGGGGGCTCTCAAGAGAGGGGCGGCAATTTTCGAAAAATGTTATTTTTAAAACATTATTTTTATTGCGGCTGCTGCACGCGACGTAGACGACGACGACGGAGTCGAAAGTCTCTCGAAAGGTATGTAATTCAAGACGGGTCCCTCGGTCGTCTCAATTTAGCATTCAAGGCGCGAAGCAACAGAAGGTTTTCATTTCTATACAATACCATTTTATTTTATTTTATTTGTATTGTCTCTTCTTCGTCGCTCCTTCTTTTCCCTGAATTTTGTTTTCAAGACATGTGTGCGGAAAATTGGTCTTCGATCTATCCTGTCCGTGGATCTAACCTCTCGTTGCCCATAAACCAATTGAGCCATTGAATTGTATCGAAATTAAAAATCGAACAATCGCATTTGTTGCTTTGGCGCCTGGTCGCATGTTCACTTTTCAATTGACTCGCATTGATTTCGGTTTATTTTTGATCTTTGCAAGGTCCACTGAACACCAAAACAATATCATCGCATTCCGGACTGACGCGTGCTCCACAATTTACGAAATTAAAAAAATTACGTAAGCGTAAGAACGGTTGAGTGCCTCGAATTTATTTGGCAATGGGGAAAAATTACATATGATATCAGCGGAATTATCATAAAATCAAAAAAAAAATATATTATTATTATAAAGTTGCGTACCTCGACTATTAGATACCCGTTTCTCAGCTAAATGAGTGTGAGCGAGATAGAGATATGCAAGCAGCAAAGCAAGTGGCGCCATCTAGCGGAAAATGCATTATTATATCAAATTGTTTCGAGTTATACTTGGAAGTCAATTGAAATGAGTCAAATAAACAAATACGCATTAATCATCGAGTGAAGAAAGGTTTCTTTTCAGAATTCTGGTTATTCATTGATTCATTTAATCGAAATGCAAATGCGATTGCGAGGCGCCCCCTCAAAATAAAAACTGATGGGGGATGGGGAACCTGTTTGGTTTTGGTTTTGGTTTTGAGTTTGAGTTTGTGTCATTTCTGTTTGTCTGTCCATAAATTAATATTAATTATTTTCAACGGGTTGCGAGAGAGAATGATCGAATCGACGCCTATTGATGAATGCCAATGATGTCAGCGCTGAGAACCCAGCAGCGTTTACAAGATCAAAAAAGATATTCGAATTCAGGTTCAGAGAGGGAGAGATAAATAGAGCTTTTTGGTATGCGATTTTACTACTCACTCCGTAATAAAGTGCAGCTGCTTGTTTGTGTAATTTAAATCTCTTTTAAATACATTGCAAATGCCAACAGAAACAGCAGCTTGCCAACTTCCAAAGACCCGCTTCATTCATTCGTTTCAAAAACCCTCTCATTTGTTGAGATGCACTGGGGAAAATGGGATATATATTTAATAATACTATAGATGTTATATAATGTCAAAGGGATCAATGCAAAAGATTTATCACTAAAGTAAATATCAAAATAATTATATTAATTAATATTACAGGCTTAACCAAAATAGTTCCAATGGGTTTTTTTTTATCATGTCTAAGGGATCAATGCAAAAGATTGATTACTAAAGTAAATATCAATATAATTTAATTTTCTAATATTACAGGTTTAACCAAAATAGTTTCAATAGCAGGTATTTTTTTCGGTTGCCGATCTTTCTCCCAGTGCACTTACTCGCCCATTCATAGGCAGTTCCGTTCGCGATCTTCTTTGGGTCGCTCCCTCTCGAGTTTCACGCATCTGTGCGATTTTTGCTTTAGTCAAGCGTCAAATTGTTGCATGTGGGCCGAGCAGGTCGGCCAATAAAAGGGGGCGGATCGTCTCTACAGAAGGGGTGGCAAATGGGGCGGGGCAGGGGGTTGGGGTTGTTTAATCAACTCTCAAGTGTTTGATTTGGACCGTTTGCGGCGTGCCTCGTATAGCATCCGTAGAAGCTGGTCTACACGGAGGGGAATTTTATCATCATTTCATTTAAATATTTGGAAATAATATTTTGCATAATACAAATTTTTAGTTAATATTTTTACATTGCGAATATTTTTCAGAATTACAATTTTTTTCTTTTTTTATTTAATTTAAAATATGCTACAAAACTTTATTTATTTTTTTAATTAGTTAATTTTATTGTTTTAAATGCTTATTTAGATATTTGTTTTATTGAAAAGTTTCAAGTTAACAATCTTTTCTTGTTTCCCTGTGAATTAAATATTTTATGTGAAAGCAAACTACCTTTTTTTTCCTGTGCCTACATTCACTTTCCGTTTTATTATTTCCCATTTTAATGAAGGCCCATTTAGTGCACCCTAGGGTTAAAGTTAAAGTTAAAGCCGACGACCATCGAGTGGGCACCCTTTTCCTTTCTGTTCGCCGCACTTCCGCATTCAATGCTAATGACAGCTGTCAATGTGCGTGCCATGATGAACTGCTGCCCCTGGAGGAGAATAGAGTAGAACCACTGGAACCACCAGAAGAAGTAAAAATACCAGAGCCACTGACTCTCGCAAACTCACAGATAATATGGGGGTGCTATATGCCCTATAAAGAGGGTTGCCGAATGTCAAATAGGGAGGTTTCATCGGCTCAGTGCAGGGAATTTCAAGAATTCAATTTAAAGTGTTAAGAGAATGGCATAAGCTTAAAAGTGGGACAGCTAAGAACACATTGATGGATCGAAAAGGGCCTTGAGCGGGGGTTGAAGTCTCAAGAGATGATTAAACAAATTGTTAAATTTCTAATTAGGACGGGCACTTGTATTTCAATGTAATGGTTTGCTAAGCAGCTAACATCCCTTGAATATTAATTGTGAAAAATTAAATACTGAAAATATTTGAAAAATATTCCTTTATATTTTCCAGAGATATTCTTCTATAATGCTACTATTTTTTTGTTTTTACCTTAAAATAGGGATTTAGTTTTTATAAAAGCTATTTGGTTAAATCTATATCTTAGATACTAGAATATCTGGTATATTAAGTACATATCTAGTCATGTATCTACCCAATTTTAACTCTTTTTCTTTATATTTCAGTGTCAGTTTGATCGTTGGAGCTCCCAAATTCGACACATCCCGTTATCAGCAGGGCGTGTCGGAGGCCGGCGGTGTTTTCAAATGCAGCCTGAACGATGACGACTGCAAATTGGTGCCATTCGACTCCAAAGGTAATTTGATCGAATAAAAAACGAAAGACCCGCAAGATACACTTAAGTCAGGTACCCCATTTCGAGTCTGTAGTGCCTTTAGTCTGGTGGTGGTTCCTCGTGAGAAGAAGGAGTTCTCTAGCGGCAAACTTGGCGCCAATACCCGCCAGAAACTGGCGCCAGGGAAGCAAAAATCGCAATTAGTTTATTTATGGCCTACACGCATGCGCAACCTTTTAGTATGCAAAATGCGAAGAATGCTCCGAGTGCAGTGGCAAAAAAAAAGAGAAAAAATACGGAAAAAATGCAATAATATATTTTTAGACAATTGCCGGGGAACGGAAATGATAAACTTACTCACCGAACCAACAAACTTCCTCTTGTCGCTACGCAAACGCAAAGTTTTTGCATATTTTTGCCATTAACTGACGGCTGAACACTCTCCACGTTTGCCTGCCCATAAATATGCAATTTGATTTTGCAACGCAGATCGAAAGAAAAAACACCTTGGGTAAAAGTTATTGACACGTGCCCCATCAGCAGACGGTAGACTGCAGACTCGATAATGGATGTTAATGCTCACGGGAGGTGTGTCCCATAAATTCAGATCCTCAGAGCCCCTTGCCCACCTATCAATACCGCTAAAATAATATATAAATCTCTGCTCAAACTTAATGCTTAATGTGGCTAAAAAAAAAAGGAGTCAACAGGTGCTTCATTCAGCTCGCAGGTTTGGTCATCTTCTAAAGTGTTTCTGCTCTGTGATTCACCAGGCCCCGTCATTCATTCATCCACCCATTAGTTGTTAGATCCTATTCACCTTTCTCATCTCGCAAATCCGTTGCCCTCATGAGTTAGTCATTCATAAATAAAACGGAAGGAAATACGCAAATCAATCTATGTTTTATGACTAATTGTACATGAGTAATATTTTAAACTTTTTCTGGTGATTCAGTTTGAACTTATTGCTACTCTCCGATTTTTTTTTGGTAATTTCTATGGAGTTTTGGTTTTATTTTATAATTTTCTATCATGACTAACTGTACATAAATAATATTTGACATTTTTCTGGTTATTCAGTTTAAATAATTTTTGGTATTTTCCATTTTTGTATTATTTTATTTCATAATTTTCTATAATTTTCCTACCAATCCCAGTTCATCCATCATTTTTAATCATCATTTAAACCTCATTAGACGCCCAAAAAATTTGCACAGTCCGCACATTGCAAAGTTCTGTATAGTATGGTATATATATTTGGTATAGCACCCCTAAAGCACCTCACTTTACCCCCGAAAATTAAGCCATAAATCACTGACAAAAGGAAGTGACCATCATCGTTATCCACGTTGTTCTCGAGTGTTTTCAGTAGTAGCTTAATTAGTTTGCCTTTCTCCCCCTGAAAAAAAATACATATTAATTTCACTAAATTGTTCATTTCCGTCCACATTTTGTCATCTTTGTTTTCGCTCTCCTCGGTTCTTAATCTTAATCTTTACCCGCGTTTTTTTTAGGTTTTGTTTCTTTGCTGTCGCTGCCTTTGCAATTTTGTTTTGTCAAATAAAGATGTCTCTTGGTTATTATTATTAATATGAACTTAATAATATTAATTTTTTCCTCCTCTAAACAGGCAACAATCGGAATGTCGACAAGGAGGTGGTGGACAGGAAATCCTATCAATGGTTGGGCGCCACGGTGGCCACTTCGCGAGACAGTGACTTAGTTGTGGTAAGTTCATATTTAAAAAAATTACAAATAAATAAGATTGTCAATTGAATTATCAAGGACTTTTCAAAAAAATTTAGAAATAAAAAATAAATAAGAAAGAAATGTTGTATTTAAGTTGCATTTAAAAAGAGAACCATTTTAATTATCAAGGAATTATTATGGATTTATTCATAAAATTTAGAATTCAAATTGTTTAATATTTTGCATTCAAAGAGAGGACCATTTTAATACATAGAATCATTTAAGATTCAGCCATAAAGAGCTTACATTAATTTTTAGTTTTTAGAGCATAGAAGTTTTTATGGGGCTTTAAAAACTCGTACTCCTATTATTGCCCCCTAAAACCCCGTTTTATGGGTCAAACAAAGTGAGTCAATGTGAGGAATACTTTCATTTTCCGCGGACCGCAACACGACCTACTATCAGTTCGATTTTTTTTAATGTTCCATCGATGATGATGGCATCATCAGTCGCTCGTTAAAATGTCAAATTGCATTGAAAGTGCAAGGGGAACTAATGGTATTCACTTTTCAGCTCGCCCACCTCATCATCGCGTAACTGACACCTTTTCCTCCATCATGTGCCAAGAAAATCTTCCAAAGAAATTACCTTTTTTATGGTCGCCTATGCCGTTAGATTGTCAGTGGGTGTTTTTGAGAAAGACCATGTTCTCAATGGGTTCGGGTTGGGATTTCGGATTTTGGTTTTCGATTTCTATGATTTTGTCATCACTGCGGTTCACCGGTCGATTGCGTCAAGTAAACCACAAAAGAAAAGCAAGACAGATAGAAAACTATAATAAGATACCAATGCTGAGATACAGTGCTTTGTTGGTACACAGGGAGAAATTTTGGAAATATTTTATAAATGTAATTTTTTGCAGGTTACTTTTTTTTATAAATTTATTAAGACAAAATTTTTGAAACATTTTAAAGCATCTTTATTGGTACACAGGGGTAAATTCTTGAAATATTAAAAAAAAAACATTTTTTTTAAAATTATTTTTAAGACATATTGTTTTAAATATTAGAAAGATTTGCTACGACAAAAAATGTTGTTTAACTTCTTTAATTCTTGTAAACTTTTCTTTGTGCAAGTGTGCTGTGTGCTTTGTGCTCGTGTGATTTTCTGCTTTGCTAGCGCGGACTCTTTAAGGTGCGCCCCGTGTGTCTCGCAACTTTTGTTAATTGCGTTGGCGTTGGCTTCTTTTGTTGGCCGCTTGTTGACCGCCCACCCAGCATAAACATTTGATTTTCACTTTAGTTCTCAATTAACTTTGATTTGGCCCATTTGATTTTGGCCCTGGCGCACCAAGAGCCGTTAACATTGATGGCCAGTACGTCCCATGCCCGTGTGTTATTTCCTTTTCTGGTCAGGTCAGGTCACTTCCGCCGAGAAATGGTGAAATGGGAACCTGGATCTGGATCTGGGTCTGGGACTGGGACTGGCCTTCAAATGCCCATTAACCGGATGGGGAGGAGCGGGAGCAGGTCATCCATCGATTGGTTTTTAAGGCCAAACCAAGTGCCCCACAGAATTACTGGGGCCACATCATCATTCCGCATTACATCAGTCGGTGTGGTATCATCAGGTAGCTTTGCAATTTAGTTTCAATAATCTTTTACACAGAAATTTTAAGGGGTTTTGGAAACAATTAAAAATGCCTAACGAAAATACGATTATAATCAATAATTACGATAATTATGTTTCTGTCTAAAAGTATGAAACAATATATTTTAGACTTCGAAAAATTTTAAGAATTAGCTTTCCATTTAGCTTTAAGGAAACTTCATAATTTATTAACAAAAATAAATTATTTAGTGATTATATTTTAAACTGGAGATATGTTTCATTTGGTTAGGAATCATATAATATTTTTTAAAAAATAGATATGTAATTCCACAAATGCCTTTAAAAGCTGGCAAAGCCAAAGACAAATAACAATCGTAACCGTAATCGGTTTTATAACCTTTAAGTACCCCGAGATGACCTCTAGCCTGGCTCATTTTTTAGCCATGTCAACCGTTTCCATTCTTTAAAACCAAATTGTTTTGTCGTGTTCTCTGCTTATTTTCTCGCAGCTTAACATATTTTGAACGATTTTCGTTGGCTTTGTTTGGGCTTTCTTTTTTAGTAGTTTTGAGGTCTCTGTCTGTATTTGGGCTTTTGTTTTTTGGCCGATTTTGTTTCTTTTTTTTTTGTTTATGTGGTTTATTGCCCATGTTTGGAGCAGAGTGCATACCAAAACGCCAACGATAAATTTTTGAGACATTAAACTGCACTTTTGCAGACGCCGTCGGTTCTTCCTGTTGTTGTTGTGGGAGCAGGAGCAAAAAAAAAAAAGGAAACAACAGCTGAAGTCAAAAGTCAACACGTTTGACATGGTCGACATGCAGACGTTACCATTGCGAATGCCAAAGAATATCTGGGGGCCCCAGATGCCCCGAGAGCCGAATGCAGATGCAGATGCCAAATCGGCTAGGCCCATGGATAACTTCGATACCCCCTCTTCCTCTTATACCTATATATACGATATATACCGAGTGCCCTGGCCATATTTGAGTTCAATAGCGCTGGCAATTTCACAGATCGTGTCGATGATCATGTCGCAATCGAAACGCTGCAAACCAAAAAAACATCTCTCGATGAGAATGGGAATCTTGGGCGACTCTAAGATACCTAAGCTGAGAATTTCTGAAAATATCTGTAAATATGTGTACTGAACTATCCAGAGATAGATCTCAATATTTTTTATTTAACGGGGTAAAAAATATTAATTTTACCATTTCATTGAAAATATTTTTATCCGAAGGAAATGCAACGTTTGCTGTTTTACTGCATACTTTTATGAATATTTTTTTAGGTATTATCTGTATTTTCACCTTTATTTTCGATCTAAACACCTAGCTTACTTCAGGGGTATACCCAATTAATTGCGATTACTGGGTATGGAAAATAAAAACGTAGCGAAACGAGAACGCACGACATGCGGCACATGCCCCCGGGCGAGGGCGGCTGTGAAAGAGACGGCAATAGGGGACCAGAAAGAGACGGAACCAGTGAGTGGCAGTGAGCGAGCGAGTGAGTTCACAGTGATGTCACCTTGGTGTTGTGCCGCTGATTGCCGATCATGGCCATTGTGGGCGGTGGCGATGACCACCACCCCGCCCACAAGTCGGCGACAAGTTGTTGATTGGGGCCACCGACTACAGACTACAGTCTACAGGCCTGTGATCTCATATTGGATCTCTTTTGGATCACAGCATCCAATTGTTGCCTGATCCTTGGCCCAAATTCACAGCAATAAAAGCTGACCCAATTTTTTATTAATACTTTCACAATCGGCGCAGTTGATTTATAAATAATTCCCTTATTTGTTTATCACATTCCAGTTGCGGTAACCGCAGAAAGAGTTTATAAATATGCACAACTTGGGATAATAAATAAATAATAAAAGATGACTTAGTCATAAATAATCCTTCTTAAAATGGTAGCGATTTTCTATATTCATATATCACTCCCCACTCTTGCTACAAAAAGAACCCATATTCATAACCATCATTTTTGATTTCAATGGGACCTGTTTTCGGGATCCATTCTCCACCGATCGACCGACCGACCGCTCCTCATTTGCATATCTAACTATTTTACCGCGAACTGTTGGCCGCAAAGCCAAAGCAAAGGAATCTGTCTGCCGGCCAACTGATAATAAAGTTTTTAATAGGAAACTGCTATTAACTTATTGATCATGGCATGGACAATGGTCCACGCGGGCAATTGTTGGGAATTTCAATTGAATTGTTCAACGCTCCCCCGAGTGCCCAGCGGCAAGTCGGCATTGTCTCGGCCCAACTCTCAGGGTCTTGTTTTTATTATTTACCCATTTCTTGCGCATACACAAGGGAAAACATTAGGCAATCGGCAGTTGTTGATTTAATTATGAAATATAGAGTTTTTTTTGGTGTATTAACCACTTGGGAATTATAAACGTTCTTGATATTATATCAAAGGTGTTTAAAAGTATGCAATGATAAGCGGATTCTTCTACATTTAAAATAAATCTTTGCATACTTTTAGACACAGTTATAAGAGGTTTTAAAAACTTCTTTTTCGATATCTATAGATCTTGTACTGGATATTAAATTATTTTGTTAGGTTTCTCCAAGTGCAGAGTTAGCTGGACTGTGATTTTTCTTCTTTTTTTTGTTGGTTGCCCGTTTCTGCGCCTGCTTGCATAATATGGCCTGGCCCATAGATTTGTGATTCAATGGGGCATTTGAATGGTTCAGCCTCTCCATCCGCTCCCATCCGATATCCGATCAGCATGCATTTTTGGCGATAGCGCGTCATTTTGAGTTTATGTCAGAGTTGCCAAATGGAGGGGGAGGAGCTTGGTGGGGGATGGGCGGAAAAGCGACAGATACAGAGAGCCACCGGTTGCCATAAATGGCACAATATGTATAAATTTGTAAAAGTAATTGCAGTGCGGAGACAATGGCCCGGCCTAAGATCTTGACGCTGATGTTGATGCCTCCTGCTCCGTCCGTTCCTGCCGCATGCCCAATGCCTTATGCCACAAACTCCACAAACCGCTGACCATATTTGGAACGGCACTGCGACAGAGATGGCTGAGACCCCGAGTCTCGTGCGTGTTTTATGTCCAACTGCCAGCCATTTATACATTATAAAACTATATAAACACACAGATCGGCTGGGATGCGAAGCGATCCAATGCGACGAGGTTAACTCACTCCCCACGCACAGTGGGCTAAAATCTATTAAAATCTTTGCCTTCAAAAATAATGCCACAAATGTTAATTTTTTATAGAAAAAATTAGCTCAATTCCGCTAATTTTCGATGTAAAAAATGTCTAAAAGGTTATACAAGAAATCCTTAAGAAATGTTAAAAAAAATGTTTCTTTTTATTTATGTTACAACTTTTAAAAAGGCATCGCCTAACCAAATATTTGATTCCCCTTAAAATAGTTTACTAAGAAAATCAAGTTCTTGCCAATCTATTATGATATTTATTCCAGCCAAGATTATAAGAACTTTTTAAGCACTTTGGCCCCACTGTGCCAGTGGGATATGGGGTCTGTTAATTCGCTTTGGCCATTTTAGGAGGGCCACAGCTCCATGACTTTGCCGTTGCTGCTGGCCTGCCATTGTCTCACATCTTCACCAAATAATTTCCATGCCTGCCCCTGTCTCTTTTATCTGCACCTGAAAAAATAGTGGTTTTTCTATAATATTATAATTTTTGTAAAATTGAAGTAAAGTAAATTATAGAAAGTAAAATATTTATGAAGTAAGGAAGGTAAAAATAAATACTTTTAGTTCAAGGAAGAATAACATACAAATAGTTTGAAAGAATTAGCCAGCCAATATCAGTTTACATCATTTTATTTGATTTATCATAGATTTTTGTTTTATATCCATTTTGCAAATGTTTTAAAAAATAGGCAGTTATCAGTTTATTTATAAATATTTAATGTGTGTTTTCCCTTCATTATTATCGAATCGATATTATGAAAATATCGAAATTATCGATAAATCGTAATGTAATCTAATAATTCAATCAATTTTCTGACTGTGCAACTTACTGCATCTCCATTGATTTCCATTTCCATTTCTCATTGCAGGCCTGCGCACCGCGCTATGTGTTCCACACGATGACGCCATCGAAGGCGTTCCGCATTGATCCCGTGGGCACCTGCTTCACCTCGCACAACTTCGAGCAGTTCCACGAGGTCTCCCCCTGCCGGACCAGTGAGTATTGATCAGAGGGACCGGGAATCCGGGATTAGCACTAACATTTACCCACACTTCACACACCACAGGCCCAATTCGACCTTTCGATTCGGTGTGATTCTGTAATTCGAGCGGCAGGGAATCCCTTGAAAAGCGAAATTCAAACTGTCGGTCGCTGGCATTCCTTCGGCTTTTGTTGCTTCACTTTTTTTTTACTTTGGCTTTATTTTTTTCTTATTTTGGTAATGCTCCAGTATCGAGTAACGGCCACTTGGGGGAAAGTGAAAAGTGTCAAGAATGCAAAGACAATCGGTTTGGCAACAATTTAGGTGACTGGAACATGTTGCTGTGTTGAGTTTGATTTTTAAGAAGATTGCTTGCTTAACAGGGAAGGAATACTTTAAAATATAATTTAAAAAAAATATAATTAAAAAAAATAAGTTTGATATTCACTATACTTTGATTTAAAGACAATCGCAAACGTTTGATTTGGAAAAAAGTATTTTATGCATTTTGGAATTGAACTCGGACACACCAACATTTTTGTTTTGCGGAATTTTAATTTTGAAACAATTTTCCGAATCTCCAATTTGTAGCCCAAATAGGAAATGTAGCACTCTCGAAAGAATTCAGCTGTTTGAAAGTGAAGATTCCACTTAGTTTCCCGCTTTTACCGATGTTCGTTCATTTTTCCAACACATAGCTTGGCCCTTAGTGACTAATTCGACGTCATTTGGAAACATAAACCAACAGGAGCAGCCGATCGAATCGTATACCTTTGCAACCCAGAAAATCTCCACCCACCTGGAGATGCAGTGAAAGATTTATGCGACTTGACAGCCGACAAATGCGAAGCGAGGAAAAGTCGGAAAAACATATCCATTCTGTGTTTGTGTAATTTTGTAGTGCTGCGATGTTTGTACATCTAAAAATATTTAATTTCATGTTCAGCGCTTTATTTCTTTTTCCTGCTTTTACCTCACATTACTTTCCCTGCTTTTCTATTTTATACTGTTTTTATTTTTTTTCGACTTTGGGACAGCCTGCCAAATTTGTTTGGTTAGTCATCGCTTTATACCGGACTATATCTAGGTCTATATAAATGGGCGAACATATAAAAGCGAGCACACATGGGGCATCATTCGCGTCCTCCTCCTCCGCAAAGTTTCGATGAGGTGTGATTATTTTTAGCATTGCCTCGCAGATGCAAAGCATTCAACTTACGTATGTACCTTACATACACACATATATATGCATATATCTTTCGGATTTTTAAGGAGCTATATCTGTATACACATATCTATGTTTACGTACGGGTTTCGCTTTTTCTATATGGGGCTGGCATATGGCCATTAGTCGGGGTTGTGACTCTTGAACTAGTTTATCATACGGAAGAATTGCTTTTGCCTCTCTGCGGTTCGGATTTTCGGACTTTCTGCTTTATTGCTTGTTTGCTTATTGGTTCGTGGAATGGTTTACAAAAATTATTGCAATGCGCATCGGATTTGGTTAAAAACTCGAGAGTCGATTGAAGTGGCTGTAATGAAATGATTCATTCTAGAAAATATTTCAAACTTTTTGGGTTATTAAATTGTAATGAGGCTTACAATAGCCCAGCGAACACGTCCTCTATGATAGTCTTATCAAGAAATACAATATATTTGTAGGTGTTTTGTATGAAAATATAAAAAATTTAAACAATATTCAGCTAGGTTTTAAAATAACAAAATAATTTTAAAAACTCTACAAATCTGTTTTTTGTTTTAAAAATTATTTAAATGTCTATTGCTCTATCCATTTAATATCTCTATTTATTTTTCTATGATCTAGTTTAAATTTTCCATTAGCTTGGCCCCCTTTTATGAGGCAATTGCTCAGTTCGCAGGGCGATTTATAGATTCAAAGCACATACGAATGGGCCAACTCGATTCCCAGTGGTCTTGTTGTTGCGTTATTAATGCCGACGTCGATGCTGTTGTTGTGAAATGATTAGCAGCAACATCAGCAGCAACAGCAACTCATCCTGACAGTCCGTTCAGCACATTCCGACATCACTGAAAGCAATAAATACCAACTTAACGCACAAAATGCCAAACTAAATAGTTAAGGGAAACACACAACAGGGCAAGAAGACAAAAAAGCGAGGGTAAATCAAAGAAAAGTACAAAAGAATCGGAGTGACCAACAGGCAACCAAGTTGAAATGTCGGCAAAGGAGCGGAGTTCTCGGCGTGCCCTTGCTAAAAACTAATTGTAATTCAAGACGGGGCGATTTTATTATGGGAATTACTACATACAACTGCGAAGACAATGCCATGGGTATGCTCACGTACGCGAGGAGGACCTGTGTGCGAGTTACGAGTTGCGAGTTACGAAAAAATCGAAAAAGAGTTGACTTATGCGATTGCCGGTGCCAGCAGCAACATGTTGCTGCCGTCGCTGCTGTCGCTGCGCTCAAATTGAAACACTTCGAGACAAATTGTTATCGTTTAATTTGATCAAACGCACGATCTGCCTGTTGATTTCTCTGTTGTTTTTGCTCCAGGTCCAAGTTTCCCCCTTTCCTACCTCCCTTTTTAACCGGAGGCCTGACTTTTGTCCGCACAGGCGACATAAAGTTGTTGTTGTCGCTGGGGATACCCTTTCCTTAAAGAGAGGAAATCATCAGTTTAGCAAAGCTTCTTAAAAATTAAACCCTTGTCTGATAGCTTATTGTAAGTCTTAGGTCCACCCGGGGGCGCCATAAAAAGTATTTAAGTAATTGTCGCCCCGAGGGCGCCACAAACTTTGTTCATCTTTTGTTTTTTTTCCTATTTTGGTTTTTATGCAGCCTGCTTAAGGTCAGAAATGTAATATTAATTTACTTAAGTACTTTTATCCATGATCACTTTGTAAAAGGGTATCCTATGACTCGACTTCCTCCCTTTTTTTTCTTGCTGATCTTTTTGCTGATGTTACGTGATTTCGTATTTGGTAGCAAGGCAACATTCGCCAGACACTTTGCCGGACAAACAAACAAACAAACAAACAAAAGGCGGGGCCAACAAAAGGATGTGTGGCTATGGATGTGGATATGTGGATATATGTTTGTGCGGATGCCGTCTCCACTTTGGGCCTCGTCTTGATCTTTTTGTTTGCCGCTCAGTGGGCAGTTGGGGCTGCTTTTATTGTTGTGTTTTCATTTCAATGTCCATCGCTTTGGCAGGCGAAGATCTTGCCCCAAAGGCGCGCTCTAATCCTTTTATGTTGCTCCAACGCTCGTCCATCGCTCGACTGACAAATAGCAGCGCAATTTATTGCATTGCATCGGTAATTATTTGCAATTTATTGTCCCACACACCGCTCCCTTTCCGGCGGCCCCGGTGCCCTGCGAACATTTATGATGAAATCCGAATCGCAAAATGCCTAAATGGTCAACTGTGTGTGACTGACATTCTCCCCAGCCTCCCATTTTTTTATTTTGTATTTTGCCCAATCACTCACTTATGCGATGCATTTCCATCTCTCGTTGCAGACAACTGGGGTTATCATCGCCAGGGCTCGTGTCAGGCTGGATTTAGTGCAGCGATCAACGGGGTAAGTATTCACTGGGTATACCCTTACGAAAATGGGGGAGTTTATTATCCAAGCAAGATTGTCTTTAGAAGGGGTAAAATTGTATAAAGGCGTCTAAAAGTGTGTAGTAAAAAAATAATAATATCTTATTATGGGATGAATTAATGGGATAAAAAATTTTAAATTTCCACCAGAAAATTTAATTATATAAACTGTCTTATTATATACAACCAATTCAAGAGAATTCAGAGGGTACCCAATATCGAGAAGACCTGAACCCGATCTCTAGATATCCGTTCCCTTTTTTCTTTTTTTTTTTGGGTTTCATTGAGTTATTATATGCATGGAATGGTTCGGCAAAGACAGACGGATGGACAGACGTGGGCACGTTTAGTTGGCACCTCGTTGGGATCGTGGCATAGCATTTGCATTCACAATTGCATCCCCAGCATTCGATTTGACTATTACACATACATATATATCTACGTATATTTTTATTTGTAACCCTTTTCTCCTCCCGTTTGTAGAATGGATCGCGCTTGTTCATTGGCGCACCTGGCAGTTGGTACTGGCAAGGTAAGTGCACGTTTTTCCCACATGTACCGTGTACCGTTGTTCTACTTCTTATTTATTTATTTATCCGTACCTCAATACCTTCTTTTTTTGTCTCTTGAGACGAGTTACTTTTACTGTATGTATTTTGAAGTTGCTGTTCTTTCTAGTATCTCGTCTCGCAATGAGACGATCGAAACTGATCCAATGTATTTAGTCATAGAACTAGAACTATAAGTAATATCCTTGAACCCTAGACGAACCCAAACACACACACACACACACGTAGTCTGGTTTGAAATTTGAATTTCGTTATCCCCGTCATCATTTAGCATTTGTCCTCGTCCTCTTTCCCTAGCTATAAAGCCCATATTGAATATTGAATTTTGATTGCCTTCCGATGTACAAAATCAAAGTGATTGCATTAACCTAGTATCCCCTAGTTTAGTTTACCTTTTTTCTTCCTTCGTGTGTTTAATTTGGTTCTCTTAGGAGAGTCCTAACCTAAGTAACTTAAAGATACGTAATTAAATGGGTCTAGTTATATGTTTGTACCGTAATACCCGTGCCCTTTTTATTAGGAACTCATGTTCTTCAGTCTCTAACACCCGATCTGTAGTTCTAAGTGGGCTAAAAATCATCCAATGTGCATCTGTAGAAGATGGAATGCTAGTTTTAGCTATAAACTAAGTTGTATCTAGAGTGCATGTCGCATTGTAACTTCGTCTAGTCGATAGAATATCCATAGTTAGACTGTAAAATCATATTTCTATAAGACAGATTAATTTTTTTAAGAAACGATAAGTGTGCATAAAAACTAGATGCTGAGTGTGATCGATTAAGAATATGTCTTTATCGATTACGAACAATCGTTAAGTGTGCACACCTATCGAATGAGTAGAGTTGCCTAAGTTTCGTAACGTCAATATTATATATTGTGTTGTCGAGTTGTTGTCCACCAAATCGTTTAACCCCAATTGGCCTAACGTCGCACCGTTGTCGCTGCCAGAAGCTAACCAAATTGTACCGTACGAAATTGTACCCAGTACCTGAGTGGTGCACAAAAAATTAAAAAAAAAAAATTTCGTTTTGCTAACTCCAACATCATTCACAACTCGACAGCAGGAGTCAGCAATATAACCGTAAAACGTAACTATTGTTAATCGTAATTTAATGTTAATTTAACCCAATCGAAGTTAGCTGCATTTACTGTACCGTATTTCGAAAACACGATATTCTACTGTAACTGTAACTGTAATCGTATCTTTAACTGTAACTGTAACTGTACCTGTACCGTATAACGCGTCATGTTCTTCCTGATCTGATTAATCAAAATTATGTTCTCTCTTTCTCTTTATATTTTTTGCTCCTTCCTCCACCTTCTGTCTCACTCTACACTCAATCAAAATATCCTGTGTGTCGGGGCAAAATGCATGCGATTTTGTACCGAACTGAAATGTGAAATGCATTCTGTACCGATTCCCAAAAACCGAACCGCACCACTCGATCACCCGAAACCGAACCCGAACCCGAATACCGAATCCCAATCAACATTCTTCCCTACAACTTTTGTTGCTATTAAAAAAAAAAAATCAAACAAAATCCCGATATACCGAAAACAAAAACCATAAAAAGGACAAACCTACTCGATACCGCCCGATGCCGAGTTTCCATTTAAGCCGCCTCTTTATCAGCCCTTCGGCACTGGAGGTAATAATAATAAAAAAAAAAATAAAAAAAATAGCAACTATGCTTCTCACCCACAGCCTCAAAACTCAAACGAAACTGTACCTACGAACATTAACCCAGCTCAAAAACAAAAAAAAAGTACCTAAACACAAACACCCATCCACATAAACACAAACTCCACTGAGAGTCCCATTAACGGTGTCTGATAATCAAAAATAAAAAAATATCGAATCGAAACTCATGAAAACTCTATCCAACATCTCATCCATCGATATAAGAAAAAACACCCTGGCAACCCATCGAAAATAAAGCAAACTATATAGATTTGTTCGTTGGGTCGCTCTAGAAAGCTTTGCCTATTAATATCTGTGCTTCCAGGGGGTTTAAATAATGCTACGTACCTCCCGCTTGGCTCAAGTCCGCTTTAAATGGTTATTGACTTAACTGCTTTTCTCTTTTTTTCGATCAATTTGATGAACAAGAAATGATATTGAAAAAGCCATGTATATATATATTAGTTTCTCTTTCATCTGATCCTGGTAAATCCCTAAAGGGGTGGCTTTGACAAAGGTATTACGGAACGGCAGAGAGAGAGATCTTATGGTTATAGTCACCACACCCGGAAATCAGAAATTCGATATTTATTTTAAAGCTGTCGCAAAGTATGCTATCATTTTTTGCGTTCGTTAGTTCGGAAATCGGCTCTCCTAATATTAGGATATCAGGACTGAAAATTGAGTTTAATTAATATCGCTTTCTAAAGAATTATTATTTCTTTAAAAAGATGTCTAGAAGTAGGCAACAATTTAGATAGTTGGAAATCGGAGTTCTTGAAACTTAAGCTGTCTGAAAGTATACAACAAAATATTTTATTTTTTCCATAACGGTTCAATAAATTTACTATTTCAGTGAAAAACTTTAAGGTCAATCTGAATCACACTAAATTTTTACTAAATTTCAAAGTTTTATTTTAAAACTAGAAAATTTTCCTTTACTAACTACCTCTAGAACTTTGCGTGTTTCTCTAGACTTATGGTTTCGTATTTTAGATTGTACTCAAAATAAAAAAATTGAAAGATAGGAAATTAGTAATTAGTAAAGACTTTTCTGAACATTATTTATAAGAAATTAATTATTTCGGAATAAAATAAAAAACATTTCCTCTTGCCACCTGACGTGTGCCGTTCCCTTTTGTCTGGCTCCAAAAGCTGCATTATTTCTATTTTTAAGAGCATGTTGTTTATTTCGGGCCTTGACTGTAGTACTAACCGGAATGCAAACTAATCATAATCTCAGCACGTTTCCCTGGCATGTTTGTTCGTAGTTGCCCCCGTATGATCATACCTACATACATATCATACACGTAATCATCCAAAAACCAACGTAGTATAGTAGTATCTTGTGGTAATTGTAATTGTTGTTGTTGTGGCTTCCCTGGCTGGGAGTAGTTAAAAGTTCCATGTGCCATCTCACCATGTGCCCATCATAGTTGATATCGTTGTTTGTTGTTGCCCAGCATGCCCATTTAGCCCCATATGCGCCAAAAAAAATTAACAGTTGCGGTCAGGAAAATGGTATAACAAATAGATATAGATATTTTGTGTCGATAAAAAAAATTAGTATAATTATGTTTATAATAAAACGTTAAAAAACATCTATGTTTTCGATAAATATCAATGTTTGAAAAATATCGAAAACATCGATAATATCGATAACCTACCATTTTCCCACCGCAACTGAGGCAAAACAAACTCACCCAAAAATAAATAAAAAAAAACACCTGGATAGATAAAGAAGGAGCTATCTTGAAATCCTGTCCAGACTTTGTCTAACCCCCGTTTCAACTCCCTAATCCGCACAGGTATGGCCAGTTCCCACGACGTGACCCGGCCCGAGAACCAGGTCTTCTCCACCTCCGAGAGCGCCTCGGTGAATGACGACTCCTACTTGGGCTACTCGATGGTCACCGGTGACTTTGACGGCGATCGCAGCGAGGATGTGGCCATTGGCATGCCGCGTGGCGGCAATCTCGTCGGCAGGATCGTGGTGAATCGTTGGAACATGGCGAACATCTTCAATATCACCGGTCGCCAAATAGGCGAGTACTTTGGCTACGCGCTGGCGACGAGCGACGTGGATGGCGACGGGCTGGACGATCTGATCATCGGGGCGCCGATGTACACGGATCCCGACAATGTGGAGGGCAAGTACGACGTGGGCCGCGTCTACATCCTGCTGCAGGGCGGCCCCAGCGAGGAGAAGCGCTGGACGACGGAGCACATCCGGGATGGCTGGCACAGCAAGGGAAGATTCGGCCTGGCCCTGACCACCCTGGGCGACGTGAACGGCGATGGCTACGGGGACTTTGCAGTGGGCGCTCCCTACGACGGACCCGAGGGTCGCGGCGTGGTCTACATCTTCCATGGATCGCCACTCGGACCGCTGGCCAAGCCGTCGCAGGTGATCAAGGCGGAGCAGATTGTCGAGGGAGCCCCGTATCCGCGCACCTTTGGCTTCGCCCTGTCCGGTGGCCTCGACATGGACGGCAACACCTATCCGGATCTCGCCGTGGGCGCCTACTCCTCCGACCAGGTCTTCATCTTCAAGTCGCGGCCCGTGGCCGCTGTGAATGCGGAGACCAGCTTCGCCTCGAACTCCAAGCTGATCAGCCTGGACGATCGCAGTTGCCAGCTGGTGAGGGACAGGAAGAAGGTGCCCTGCATGCTGCTGGCCACCTGCTGGAGCTACACGGGCCGCTATCTGCCCCAGCAGCTGGACTTCGATGTCTCCTGGCTGCTGGACGCCAAGAAGCTGCCCAATCCGCGCATGTTCTTCCTGCGCGACGAGGGCAAGAATATCAGGAACCAGACCATTCGCCTCAACTATGGCCAGAAGTACTGTCTGAACGAGACCGTGTATCTGCTGGACAAGGTGCAGGACAAGCTGACGCCGCTGGAGGTGGAGGCGCGCTACAATCTGCGCAGCAGTCGCCCCCTGGATCCTTTGGTCCGCCAGAGGCGGAGCATCCTGGAGCCGGTGATCGATCAGAATCGCGAGATCGTCCTCAGGGATGCCATCAACATTCAGAAGAACTGTGGACCCGATAACATCTGCGAGCCGGATCTCAAGCTGGTGGTCAAGTAGGTTGGCCTCTGGGTCGAAAAAAAGATCTCCTTGGTAATCGGTGGATTTCCCTTTTTTTGCAGCACCGTGGACAAGTATCTGTTTGGCTCGCCCGAGCCCCTGGTCATCGAGGTGCTCATCTCGAACACCAACGAGGATGCCTTTGAGGCCGCCTTCTATATGGTCACCCCGCCGGATCTGCAGTTCAGGAAGCTGCAGCAGCTGGGCGAGAAGAAGGACACGCCCATCACCTGCTCGCCGCCCACGCCCGAAAATAATCACACGCTGAAGTGCGACATCGGAAATCCCCTGGAGTCGGGCAAGATTGTGAGTGTACATCTCTTGGCTTGAAGAAAAAGAAAAAAACATTCTCAAAGTAGTTTTGTCGATCTTAAAATCAAGACGAATTCATCATTATTTCAAGAGATTTTTATGATTCGAGAGTACTTTTGTCTTGACTTCAAGAACATTAGTTTAATCGATCCTAAAAGTGAGAAAATCATGACGAATTTCATCTTTATGTCAAGAGATTTTCATGATTCGAGAGTACTTTTGTCTTGATTTCAAGAACATTTCTTCTCCATCAAGTGGGAACATTTCATCTTGACTTTTTCGGTTCGGGAGTATTTCCTCTTGTTTTCAAGAGCATTTCTTCCCGATCTCTTAAGTGAGAACATTTGATTTTGATTTGGAATAAAGATCATTGGAAAAGCCTTATAAGAGCAAACGAATTCGAGAGTATTTTGTCTTGATTTCAAGAACATTTCCTCTCGATCTCAAAAGTGAGAGCATTTGGTCTTGATTTTTTCCGATTTCTAATTTTGGCTTAATCTTTAAACATATTAATTAATATTCTACATTCCTTTTAGGCCCACTTCAAGATCAGCTTGGTGCCCGAGGAGAAGTACGGCAGCTCGTCCAGTTACGACTTCTATTGGGAGGCCAACTCGACGAATCTGGAGAAGCCGGGCTCCGATTACGACAACAAGATCCGCCAGAGCGTCGGCATCTGGGTGGACACCGATCTGGACATCAAGGGCACCTCGCTGCCCGACTACCAGCTGTACAAGGCCGACGACTACAAGATGCTGGGGAATGCCTCCAAGGAGGACGAGATCGGGCCGCAGGTGGTGCACATCTACGAGATCCGCAACAATCGCCCCTCGATCATCGAGGAGGCGGAGGTGAAGATCCATCTGCCCTACGAGACGATCAACGGCGATGCGCTGATGTATCTGCTCAATCAGCCGGAGACCGGTGGCAAGATCACCTGCGACGAGGTGGCCGTCAACGAGTACAATCTGCAGCTGGACGAGAAGCTGCAGCGCAAGTCGTATCTGCAGGCGCAGGGTGCCATTTCGAATTCCGCCGAGGCCGCAGGCCAATCATCCTCCTCCTCCTCGAGCTCCTCCAGCTGGACCTCCGAGTCGGGTGGCCATGTGGAGAAGGCCCAGGGCAATGGCTACGTGCAGGGCGTTATAGTTAGCAACACGACGGATGCGGGCAACAAGCTGACGCCCAAACAGGTCCAGGATCGTTTGGCCGAGGATAAGCTGGAGTCGATCGGAGATGCCTCCATCGTGCACCGCGATCGCGCCAGTCAGGCTCTCGTCCAGGAGCCCCGGATGAACCAGACCAGCTATGCCAGTTTCTCCGCGAGCAGCTCCTCGTCTGGTGGATCTCCCTTGGGTCACAGCACCCAGGGTCACATACAAATGGCCCGGCCAGTGGTTCAGCAGCAGGGCAGCTCCTCCTCCTCCTCCAACTACCGCACTTGGCCAAACCAACAGCAGCAGCAGATCCTTCTGGCTGGCTCCGGAGGATTGGGTTCCCCCGTTAGCTTCGGCGACAAGTCACAGTTCGGCGGTCGGCAGGGCAACTTCCACGCCGCCGGCTTCGATCTGGGCACCCTGAATCCTAGCCAGAGCCAGAGCCAGGGTCAGTTCCAGACGTCCAGCCAGGGCCACTACCAGGGCCAGAATCAGGCCCAGTTCCAGGCGCCCAGGAATCCCGTGCAGACCTCCTACCAGAGCCAAACGCAGTACAGTGGAGGAGCCGCTCCCGGCGGCTATCAGACCACCCACCATGTGACCTACTCGTCGGGCGGCAAGCCCTACTATGGCCGAGAGAACGAGGACTACTACGACGAGGACAACCTGCAGCAGGCAGCGCCCAATGGAGCTCAATGGAGCAGCAGCAGCAGCAGCAGCAGCTCGCGTCGTTTGCGGCGATCCCCGCAGGAGGATCAGGAGGAGCAGCAGCCGCGCCAGATCGATTTGAATTCGCCCTGCAAGTCGGCCAAATGCAAGACCATCCGGTGTGTGGTCACCAATCTGGGCACCGAGGACGGCGATGCCGCCTTCGTGGCCATCCGGGCGCGCATGGTGGCCAAAACGATGGAGAAGCTGGCCTCGAACGTACCGCTCAATGTGTCCACGCTGGCGGTGGCCAATGTCATCCTGCTGCCCTTCATCGGAGCGCCCAAGGACGCGATTGTGAAGACGCACGAGATCTTCTACAAGGCGGAGCCGGAGCCGCTCCAGGTGCCCGATGTGGTGCCCCTGTGGGTCGTCGTCCTGGCCGCCTGCGCCGGAGCGCTCATCTTCCTGCTGCTCGTCTGGCTGCTCTACAAGGTGGGTTCTGCGTTTCGACAGATTTACTATGATAAAATTTACTGGGATAATCCTCTTTTCCAAATAACATTTAAGAACATTTTTAATTTTACAAATAATTGTAGTAGTTTTCTTAGTTATTTTTCTATCCTATTTCGATGCTTCCATCTATTACAATTTATTTTATAATTTTGTAAAATTAAGGTTGGTTTTAAATTTCTTAAATATGTATAAAATACACTTGAGTTTGCACGTAATATTTTGTATACAAAATGTAAAGTTAATTGGAGCCATCTTAGTTGAAAAAAACATTAAAATTTTTTTAAAGTTTTAATAGTAATTAGAAAAGATATTTTTCTTTGCTACTTTAATGTATCCATTTAATGATTTTTATTTATTTTATTATTTTAAAGATTTTCATGGTATAGATTAAATTATTATTGAAGCAATCTTAGTTGGAAAGAAAATTAAAGAGGGGTTTAAAAGAAAATTATAATAATAATTTGTTTTTTCTTGCTATTTTTATGTACTTATCAAATGATTTTAATTTTTTTTATTATTTTAAAGATTATTAATGTATAGATTTCATTTTTAAATTTTATTCTAATGAAATACACGTTTTGCAATCTATTTAAGACAAAAGTTTTCTGATCAAAATACCCCCGTCTTTTCTTACAGTGCGGCTTCTTTAATCGCAACCGGCCGACGGATCACTCGCAGGAGCGGCAGCCACTTCGGAACGGATACCACGGCGACGAGCATCTGTAGGGACATCCGCGAGGTCCTCCAAAATAGCAAGAGAATTAACAAAAGCCACGAAATACTTCTAACATCGCACTAAACCAAACCAAAATGTACTAAAAACAACGAACAACGGCTCTAAGACGTACTAAAATCGAGCGCTTAGTTGAGTTTACAAAAAAATGCGATGTCGACGGGATTGGAATCCCGAATAGATCACTTTTGAGGGATAAGCCTGCTGCTTGGAAGATACGAAAAAAAACAAAAAAAAACAACATTTAAACTTGCCTAGTCACGACATGAAGAACTTTCTAATGCGTAAAGGTTTTATAACTTTTAACAGAACACTTTATTTTTTTTATTTTTTAGACTTTTGTGTTTTTGTTTCATTGCAAAAATTTCGAGGAAAGTTAAATAAGTGCTATATTAATCTGTACTAAAGAAAGCAAGGAAGGAAAGAAAGAAAGCAAGTCGAAGGGAGCCTAGGCTAAGTGAATGAATGACTGAAAATGAACTATATGACGACTGAATGAATGAGCTGGTGAATGAGCGAATGTGAGTGATAGCCAATATGGAAATATCGAAGTTATAAGTTCGAGAATCGATAATCGAGAAACTGGGGATAGTGTTGAGCAAAGTGCTGCCCTATATACTGCCACGCCCCAAAAAAAAATTTGGGCAGCAGCCGAGGCATGGAAATTAATACAGAGAAAATCCACACTTATTAGGTGCTACTCTAATCTTTTTTTTTTTTAAATCTATTATCACGTCTCTTCGGAATACTTGGCGTTTTCCCAGCGCGGAAACCCAATTCTTTTTCTGTGGACTATTGTTTGGACAAACTCAAAGTTTGCCTGTTGGAGGAAAAGTTACAACGCCAAAATGTGTTGAAAAATGCAAAAGAAATTATTAAAAACATATTGATTAATCTATGTAATTCTTGAATGTAAACTCTGTGTAAATACTAAAAATGAAAAACAAAAAAAAAAACAAAAAACGAAGAAGCGAAAGTAGGAGAACAGTTGATTTGTTATATTTAAATTAATATTGCATTTATTTCCTAATTACAGTGGGAGAAGCGCTGACCGACTTCTTGCAGTGTACTCTCGAAATAAACGATCCCTGTCTGTATCACTTAAAACCCCCTACTAAAATGTAGTCTCGCCCGCTGCTCACAGCTAGTTTAGTTGAATTATACGCTACTGATTAATTTATTAACTGTACTTATTAATGCGTGTCATGAATAATGATTGATTGCCCCCCTTATTTGTTTGCTAATTTCTGTATTACATTTAATGATTTACCATAAAAATACAAATAAAAATGACGGTCGAGTTGTAAAAATAAAAAAGCTGTGTGTTATATTTTAAAGGCACTACTCAAGATCCAATTTTTACCAAACACCCTAAATATGATTTAATCGGACATAAATACCCAAAAAAAATTAGTATTTACTATTATTATTTTTGTCATAAAAATGTAACTAATAATCCAAATATGGTGTGTCATACCTTGTTGAACTCGTTATTAAATTCCCAGTCGATTGGCATTTCAACCTGCAAATTTTTAATTTTTTCCATTTTTTGCAAAAAATGATGATGGTACCCCTTAAAAAAAAAACGAAAATTGGGTCAAAAATTAAGTTTCTCAAATCAGTCGGAAAGTGCACTGATATAATTAATTAGGTGGTTAGCTGTTCAAAACAGTACGCCTTTTTGGTTTGGGACCATTTTTGTCCAAGTTACAGCAAAAAATCTATAATAAAAAATCAAATTTTTACCAAAAATCAAGATCCTGATTTTTGACCACAAAAAAGACCGTATTTTTGCCAGAGTAATGGGAATAATGTTCCAAATATGGAAACCGATACCTCGTTGCGCTCGTAATAAAACTCCCAATCGATTGGGGTTTTAAAAATAGTTGCACATATTTTTTATCAGTGTTTCCGCGACAACCTAACAGCCGAACCAGCAGAGCTAATAGAAATGAACCGGAACCAGTGCCGCGAGTCATGTTAACTTAAAACTGATAATCTGTTTATTACTTTCGTCCGGAATGTGCTAGATATTTACAAATCCAGGGCCAGCTGCTACACCCTATAGAAGCACTCCAGGGCGCGGGGTTCGCAGTTGTCGTAGGGCTTCAGCATGGCGTCTCCGTGGGCCGCCTGGCCGCCGGCATCGATCTCGTCCAGCTGGGAATCGGGCACACAGGCGCACTGGAAGCTCTTGTTGCCGCGACTGTAGAGCTTGCGGGGATGGCCGATCCAGGAGCGCTCCTTCCCATCGCCGCTGGTGTTGGTGCACCAGACGCGGGTGCCCCGCTCCTGGCTCCACTCGATATTGCAACCGGGATAGCGGGCCCGCAGCTCCTCCACCTGCCGCTTCGCATCCCGCGCCTGCTGCAGCAGCTCCAGGAACTTGTGGTGATAGCTCGTCGGGGCTCCCTTCGCATCGTAGAAGCGCCCCACCAGCCGACCCTTGTAGACGTAGTCCTTCTGGTAGAAGTCCCGCCACCCGGCCAGTCCTATCAGATCCTCCGGCTTCAGCGAGAGCACATCGTCGGATGTTTCCGGGTCGTAGGTCTCGAAGTCGCCGGAAATGAAGGACACCGAGGCGTCGCGTCCCACGAAGAAGTTGTAGCTGCACCCGGAGCCGTAGTGCTTGATCCCGCGGCTCACATCGAAGACGGATCCCAGCAGGGCCAGGTAGAGCGGTCGGCCCTCCTCCTCGCCATTGAACCGGGCCAACTCGGCCGGCGTGAATACCGTGCCGACTTCGTCATCGGCTGAAAAGGCCAGCGGAATGCCCGCATCCTGGCCAGCCTGGTCCAGGTAGTCGTCCGTCTGCCGGCGCAGGAACTGCCTAATCTCCGTCTGGTAGAATCCGGCCAGAATGGCGGCCACAACAAAGAGAAACTGCAATTTGAACAGGTGTCGCAGCAATCCAAACATCTTGTAATTTCCCACAGCGGATCGGAACCGGAACTAGTTCGCTGCAGCGGAAAGTGTGACCGGGCTGTGCAAGAAAAGACCGGCAAACCGGTTTGAATTTCAAAAATTCAAAATCTTAGCGGGAACGATTCAATTGTTTCCTTGATCAATTTAACTAGCTATTTTCATTAATTTATAATATAGTTTTCTTACAGCTTTAAGCATTTCTGATTTTAAGATTTTGTGAAATTTAATAGCCACGAATCGAATCGTCGAAAACGGTTTGGTTTTTTAAATTTTAAACCTTTTTATTATTTCCTGTATAAATTAAACTAGCTATTTGCATTAATTTATAATATAGGTTTCTTACAGCTTTAAGCATTTCTGATTTTAAAATTTTGTGAAATTAAATAGCCACGAAAAAGAATCGTCGAAAACTGTTAAGTTTTTAAAATGTTAAACCTTTTTATTATTTCCTTTATAAATTAAACTAGCTATTTGCATTAATTTATAACATAGTTTTCTTACAGCTTTAAGCATTTCTGATTTTACAATTTTGTGAAATTTAATAGGCAAGAATCAAATCGTCGAAAACAGTAAGTTTTTTAAATTTCAGATATTTTTACAAAATAATTGTGTGGTACATTTGTACATTTTAACTTATTTAACGTTTTTTAAGATAAACCACGAATCGAATCGTCAAAAAGAGTAAGTTTTTAAAATTCTGATCTTTATACAAAATAATTTTGTAGTACATTTTAACAAATTTAATTTTTTTAGCTCCCCTTGGAACCGAAACCCACTAGAAAACCACAAAAAAATGTACGTTTTGGCATAATCTTTATTTGCATAAACCAGTTGGCAGTTAGCGGCGTCGGGAGACGCAGGCGTCGATGTGGCTGTTGACCTCCTGGAGGCCGAGCACCGCCTGCGAGGATGCGGAGTGGGTGCACACGTTGCTGTCGACGAAGACGGCAGGGATGCGCTCGCTGGTGGACTTGCGGATGGTCTTGATGGAGGAGCGGGCATTGACCAGGAAGACGGTGCCCTGGATGTAGAACTTGGCCATGCAGGACTGCTTGAGGATGGCGTTCTTGTGGGCCTGGCACTTCTGGTAGGTGTTGCCCAGATTGTAGGCACCAAAGACCAACTGCTGGGTGGCGGCGTTCACGTCGGAGGCGATTTCGGCGGATGTGTGGGCCGCAACGAGGCCGCAGGAATGCAGATCCTCGTGGGCGGCGTCCACAATGCGGGCGATCTCCTCATCCTCGGCGGCCACGCACTCGGGGCTCTCCTGGCGACGCGCCTCCACCTGGTCGAGGGCCTCCTCCAGCTCCAGCTGCGGCTCCCGGACGATCTCCTCGTACTGCTGCACCAGGGCCTCGCCGGTGGCCTTCCCGATCTCGGTCATCTCGTCCACCACGCTGTGCACCTGGGCGTCCAGCTGGGCGGGCAGGTCCATCGGCTGGCTCCAACCGCTGGCCACGAAGAGGGCCAGGATAACGAAGGCGACGGTTTGCTTCATGATTGCTGCTGACTTGCTACTGTGGACTGTTGGCCAAATTGAGATCGTATTTATACCCGGGCATCCAGAAACGGATTATTCGCAGACGGCTATTGTCCGCTAATCTGGATTGCTGGCCATAAATTTATGGCCGCCATTGTAAATCACTCACGGCTTGGTTTGATTAGTGAACTTCGCTTTACATTCACCTGCTATTCATAGAGTTCCCGCATTTGGATTTAGATTAAAACGGGCCAAGTCGCCCGATCACACAAAGAACATCATAAATATCAAAACAAAGCGTTATTTAAAGGAACATGGCTGGACTTTACAATATTTACCTAAGGGTAATCAAATTAAATATTTTATATTTATATTTTACTTCTTCTTTACATTTTTAAGAAACCATATTAAAAATATAACATTTTAAAATAATAGTAAATACGCTAAAAATAAAGGGAATATTTAAATAAAAGTTCCTTTTATGCTTTCAAATTTAATACACAATATTGCTTTATTTTTTATCAAGTCTAAGTCATTATGATAATAATTTATTATAATAAAACCGGGAACACCCAAACATTTATGCAATTCCCCGAATATTGACCACTTTAGTAGGAACCTTAAAAAAAAACCGAAAAACCAATAATATCAGCGTGTCTGAGGTCTCAAGTGATTCGTGATTCCATAGATTGAATTGCCACTGTTTTCCCTGACTTCGCAATGACTTTTAATCGAGGGCATAAGCGGAGCCATAAATTATATGACATTATCTTCTATAATTAAGGCATTATTTAGATCCACCGATTAGGGCGATTTTCGAGTGGCGAATCCAGTAATAGATGTTTCCTATCGCTCCACGCACAGGGAAAATATAATTTGCGACCTTATCGAAAGACTCCCGCTCATTGCCTCTCTTTTCTGCCATTTTCTCTGGACAATATAATCATATTGGAGAAATAAAAAAGCGGGCAGACGGAAATTATTTCGATTAAGGCAAGACAAAGACACATAAGCCAAATAATGGGAAATAAATCAATTGGCCGATAAACGACTCTTGAATATTTTAATTAACTGGGGGTACGGCTACTGCCACCGATATGGCAATCTGGATCTGGGCTTTGGGTCGTATATAAGGTGGATCCCCAGCGAGATCCCAGCAAAACCCAATCAACCATGAGGAGTATTATTCTAGTGTTGGCCTTGGCCGTGGCAGCTGTGAGTAGATCAGAATACCTATAAAAAAAACCTAACTATAGGGGTTTAAAAATATATCAAAGAGATATATCATCAAAGAGATATACATTTTTTCAAGTTATTAATGTAAGTGCTTGCGATTATAGTATATTAATCAACAGTGCGTATGAGTTATTTCCCATAAAAGCTTATCGATGACGGTTAAGTTTTTCTCTTTGCTAATAGTTCTGCTAACTATAACTATAACATGATTAAAATTAATTATACCCGTTACTCGTAGAGTAAAAGGGTATATTGTATTCGTGCAAAAGTATGTAACAGGTAGAAGGAAGCGTTTCCGACCCCATAAAGTATATATATTCTTGATCAGGATCACTAGCCGAGTCGATCTAGCCATGTCCGTCTGTCCGTCTGTCCGTCTGTCTGTCTGTCTGTCTGTCTGTCTGTCTGTCCGTCTGTCCGTATGAACGCTGAGATCTCGGAAACTATAAAAGCTAAAAGATTGACATTTTGCATGCAGATTCTAGGAGTTCCTACGCAGCGCAAGTTTGTTTCAAAAGGGTGCCACGCCCCCTCTAACGCCCACAATCGCATATATACGATTTTAAAAATTTCAATATTTTGGAAAAGTAAAAATGCAGTTTTATTGTGTTTATCAATACCTATCGAAATGTAGAAGAAATTTTTTAAATCGGACCATTCGTTAAAAAGTTACGGCGGATCAAAGTTTTTCTCCATCTCTTTCGCACTCCCTTTAGCTGAGTAACGGGTATCTGATAGTCGGGGCACCCGACTATAGCGTTCTCTCTTGTTTTTATTTGTAAATGAGACTTTTTGGTCAACGGTGCGTATGATTAATGTGACTTGACATAATACAGAAAAAAATTTTAATTCTAATATTATAATTTTTTATAATGCTAGTTACTATTATTATTATTATAATTATTATATATATATTTTTATAATTATAATTAATGCCAGTTAAAATACATGACTTTCATGACTTATAAAATAAATAAATAAAGTTTAAGTTTGAGTTAGAAAGTCTTTACATCCTGAGTTTCAGATAAAATATTGAAATATTTTGTAATAATCCTTGTTTGCTTTTCAAACAGGTTTCAGCGGTGCCCCTAATAGAGGACCAGGATGCGACCGCCCTGAAGGAATTGTTCAAGAAAATGAACCTTGACTTGGACTTGAACTTGAACTTCGACCTGGACCTGGGAGTCAACTTGGACGAGGTGATGGAACTGGAACTGGAACTGCCCGAGGAGGGCACCACCGACGTGGCGGTGGATGAGTTCGCCTTTTTGGACCGGGTGGTGCGCCTCCTGCTTTCGGAGGCGAAGGCCCTGGGACGCCAAATCATCCGGCTGACCGAGCGCCAGCTGCTGAAGATCTTCCTTTATCCGCTGAGGGAGCTGGAGAAGCTGGCCGAGGAGCTCGAGCAGAAGGCTTTGGATGCGGGCGACTGCGCGCTCAATGTGACCACCAGTGTGGCCGATGTCCTGGCCTGGGGCACCGTGGGCTACACGAGATGCGCCTACGATGCCGCCTGCACCTCCATCGATCTGGTCGTGGACACCAAGAAGGCGGTCCTCCAGTTGACCCTGGACGCCTATCACATCTACACGAAGAGGCGCGAGTGCAAGACCAAGACACTTGCGATTACAAAAAAGACCTGCGAAGCGGGCTTGTATCTCCAATGTATTTCGTTCGTCGCCAAGGCCCCGGGCTCCATACTCCATTTGATTGGACTCCGGAACAGCGTGCCCGCCGTGGCCACCGATGCCACCTCCTGCACCAACGAGGCCACCGAGAACGTCCTCCGGGGATTCAACGAGCTCAACGAAGCCATTGACGCCTGTGCCGCCAACTTTAAGAAGTGAAAAAATTAAATAAATTGTATAATGCAACGTGAAGTTTTTAGAAATTACTAGGGGTGAATAAAAGTATTACGGTGTAAAAAAAAAATTAAACTAAGTTTATAAGATTTGACCTAAGATTTGGAATTTAATAATCAAGAGCATAAATAATCCTAAAAAAAAATTCCTGTTGTTTTAAAATCCTGAAAAATGTTTACCTACGATTTCCTTTTAACTTATTATATTATACAATCCCAACTCAGAATAAAAGTCGTTTGTTTTTTTGGTTTTTTGAGTTATTACTTTTATTTAAATTTGGTTTCATTATCGTTCATCTTGTTCAAATACAATAAATAAACATTTAAACTATTTAGTGGTATGTATATATATATATATATAAATCGTTTGTTTTTTTTTTGTTAAATATTTTAAATAAGTGTATATATATTGTATTTCATGGGTTTTTCCTCATCTTCACTCGCTTTCTCCCCTTCCCGCATCGACTTTCCACTATTTCATAATTCCTCCTTTTCGTACCAAAAATTTGCATTTCCTTTTGTTTTTCGCTTGGTTTGAAAGAAACTTGTTGGATTTGTTTTGTTATATAAGTAAATTGCTGTGTTCGGGCTTACGGTCGTCAAATGTCGTCTATATATTTGTGTATATATCGTACTATATAGTATATATATACTGTATACTATACACACTTGCATGTTAGTAAAATTAGCTTGTTACATAAACACTAATGTATAAATTGTTGTTTCTACTCAAGTATGATGCCACATACAATTACAACTAGGTTTGCATGTACTGGTATATCTGTATATGTAAGTGTCTGAGTTGGAGTGTGTGGGTGTGGGTGTCAGCTGTACATATGTAGAATGTATGTACCGTTATCAATAATTAGTTAAACTGTAGCTAGGTATATGTATTTGCCATATACATATGTTGCTCAACAACTTTTACCATCCGACTTTCGTTATTTTATTGGAGTTTATCATTTTCAATTGCAGTTTTCGGAATTTTCTCTGATTTTTGTTAATCATATATGTATGTTGTTCATTAGTCACAGATGTTTTTAGGCGCGCTTTTATGCTTTAATGAATTCAGCGTGTTGTATATTATTAATATTTCAATTCTTTATAGTAGAAAATAAAATATAAGTAAAAGGCAATTTTCTTAGTATTTTCTCATTTTTGTCTTGGGTTTTTTGTTCTGAAAAAATTTGTGCTTAATTTTGTAGAAATTTTGTTTCTTTGCCTGCATGTTATTCGTTTAAAACAAAAAATGTTAAGATATTTTGTTTAGCTTTCGTTTTTTGTTTTAATTTCAATAATGTATAATATTTAGTTCAATAAATTCGTTACGACACATGGACTAAGACACAGCAAAAAATATTCATGCTTAATTTAGATTCAGTTTTGTGTGTTTTCTTTTCTTTTCTTTTATATTATTTTTTTCCTTGAATCCATCTTCTATTCGATTTGGTATAATTGGTAGATTTTAATATTATTATTCATATTATTCTTCACATTTCGCGTCCTAAATGCGCTTGTAAATATTTGTCAATAATAAATGATGAAACAGCTTAAGAACTCCTTTTTTTTTGTTTTTTTATATTTTTGCGAATAATTTTCAAGACACCTACCCGTACCTAGTTTATCTGCCAGCTTCCACATATGTAGCTATTTTCGTAATTCTTTGCTTTAAGGGCTAAACGGTCAACGGTAACGGTAACGGTTACGGTTACTGATCGGTAAACGGTAATCGGTAATCTGTATCGGTAATTTATAGATAATTTCGTATTTTCCGTATCTTCGTATTCGGTATTCGGTTTTGATATGTTCGCTTCAAATGCGTGTCATGAAAATACATTTGCTTTGCTGATTCTGATTCTGCAATACAACTCCGTTTAAAAATATACAGTAGAACAAGGCTACTACATAAGTACATAGGTATTTTTCTATATATCTGTAGACTAAATTGGGCAAATGTTTTGGGTTTTGTTTTGTAATTTATCATTGGGCGTTGAAATTCCGTTTTCGTTCGTTAGTGCAACAAACTCCTTGCATTTTCATCTGCATTTGCATCTTCGATTATCGTTATCCACTTTCTAGCGTTTTTCAATTCAATTCAATATTATTATTACAATAGTGTGGCCAAAGCTTATTGTCGGAAGCGTTATGCATTTTAGTTTTAGTTTTTCATTATTCGGTTTTGTTTTGTTTTGTCTTGTAAAAATATTTTCGATACTCGTCAGTTTCGTATTAGAACATTCTTAGGGAACAAAGGGAAAAGGGTAACGCAAAATATAAGAGTGTTCAAGTTTTCGAGATTCTTGAAAATCGAGTGTCGGTAAGGCTATTTTCTGTTAGTTTTGTTGGGTTTATAAAGTGTTGATGTCATTTCCTCCACATTTGAGTTATTATTTTCAAAAATTAATATTTCATTTTGGTCTTTGCTTATATTAATCACTAAAATGTATCGTTCTTGTATATATTTCTCCTTCGATAAATGTATATAAATTGTTCTTCCTCTGGTTTTCTTTTGTTTTTGGCGTAACTTTGTGTGAGCTGGGTTTTGTATTTGCGCCCATTTTTACTTTTATTTTTGTTTTCATTTTTATTTCGTAAAGAAAATGTTTCAAAAAATGTTTAACAAACAATTCAATAGGCTTTACACGAAAATGAATGGCATTTACTTATACGTTATATAAATCAATTGTAAAATATGTATATATATATTACTCGCTTGTTTGTTTTGTTTTGTTTTGTTATGTTAGTTTGTTGTATAATTAAATATTGCATTTGGTTTCGTTGAACGTCTGGACAATTTTTCATCTTCGCCGTCGATTTTCCCTCCGATTTCGCATCTACTTAGTGTTACATAAAGTTACAACTAGATTAGTATATATAGCTGTACGTATTTAAATATGAGTGTTTGGTTTATTCCTCGTGTCGTGATTTCTGTACCTTTGGCAAAACAAGGCCAAGGTCTTTGGCCCGCCCTGCTAAGTATGCTACAGAAATGTTCGAGTAACCGATTAAGGATCGAGTATACAGATTCACATCCCTCTTCTATCGCTAGTTCCTATAAACCATATGTCATAATACCATCTGACCTTCTGTTTTTCTGTTTTTCTAGTTCGACGAAAACCTTTTCTTGTTTTTTATATAATTTACAAAAATTTTGATTTCAGTACCTGATTGCAATGGGTTTCTTTCTTTTTCTTTTTCGTTTCCTTTATTTGCTTAAAAAAAATACAGACACTTGTAATTGTTGTTGTTGTTGCTTGCTTTAGACATAATTTGAAGTACAATTCATATGTATACATATAGGTATATATTTTGTTCTAGTTTCATATTTAGGCCATAATTTGTGTTGGTTTGAATACGAAAACGCTTTCAAAAATTCTACACGACATAACTTCCTCCCTCCATCTCTCTTTCTATCTCTTTCCACCTCTCTCTATCCCTTTCTATCTCGCTGTCGCTTGCTGTTGTAAACTTTAATATGTAAATACACACAATTAGCTATATTTATGTTTAAATATTTGGTTTCCGCTACACTTACGCAATTAGAACTCAATGAGCAAAGTATCTAAGACATATCCTGGATTCGTCGTCCTGGAAATTGGTTTCGCATCCCTACATCCGCTTTAGCACTACAATACAATTGGTTTCGGATATTGTTGCTTGTAAATATAGTCGATATATGTGTATATAATTATGATCATTGGTTACAAGTACAAGACATTAAAGGAGGGCACACGAATCGAATTTCTAACACTTGTTTTTATCTTTTTTCGTTTTTCGTTTTTGTTTCTTTGTTTCAGAGTGTCCTACGGTTAAGTGCGACCGAGTTGGCTGAGATCAAAATTAAAATTGAGGAATTGGTCTAATTTGTTATCCCTTTATTCGTTCACAACCATGTAAAGAAGTTGGAGGGGAAGCAAGAGGACAGATACCGATGTCCATAAAAAGCCGGGTGAATAATTCCTCTACGGGTGCTACACTCAGATTAAAAATCGGCCTTTGTGTCGGAAATATTTAGTAATTGCTTAGGAATAAATCAGATTTCGAAGGAAAAAATACTACAAATTAAATAATTAAGCTTACGCTTTCAAAACGAGCATTATTATCTATAATAATTTAGTTTTATAATTTGTTTTTCAATTTTTCTAAAATGTAGGACTAACCGAAAATATTTAAAAACTGTTCGGAAACCGACATAATTGTCCACTAATTCTTCTTCTTCTCTTTCCGTAATCCCTGAACTATTCGCTGAATAAAAAGGAGAAGATTGGAAGTATGCGCTTTATACTTGATACTCTTCTGGGATTTCTGGCAAGGATTCTAGATGTGTAATGCGAGTAATATAATAAATCTGTTGACTGATTTCTTGAAATTATTGCTGATTCCGTTTGTTGTCCTGGGTAAAAGTTTTAACTCGATTATCGATTCTGTCAATTGTTATTATTGCTTTTGTAATTGATTCGCTCCTATCGATTTTCCTCTTTTCTCTTTGTTCGTTTTGTGTAAAGTAAAAGAAAACTCAAGCTTTTGTTCTCAAGGTTCAGGTAATCAATTTCTAGTCTTATCTGTTGCACTGAGTAGTCTGCGATTTTCCTCATTTTCATTTTCATTTGTTGTTCTTGTTGTTATTTATTTTACTCTTTAAAGGTATGTATACATATAGGCATATGTGTGTATATATAATTTGTCAAATTTGTTACGTCATTAGTTGGATATAATAAATATACGATACATAATTATAATTACAATAATTTCGCTTGTGGTAAATGGTAAATGGTAAACGGTAAATGAAAAACGATCAACAGATGAATGCTTATAGGTAATGTCTTGAGTTGAGTTGTAGTTCGAGTTGAATTGCTGCAAACCATAGTGTAAGTTTAGGGTCTATAAGTACCGTTAGTTGTAGTTTTCATTTTCATTTTCGTTCTAGTTGTAGTTGTGGTTTAGTCACCAAGTTTAGTACGTAGGTAAATTTGTGGCTGGCTGAAACAGGTTGTTCTGCGTGAGT